GTCATAGCCCAGATTCCGAACCTTTGAAAGTAATCCTCATAAGCATCAAAATCCGAATGAATATCTAACTGTTCCATCGCAGGCCCCATCGCAACGCCAATGTGATAATTAGAAGTATTTAATTATAGTATGAACTAAGAATCCCAGAATTAACGCAATTGAATCAAGAAATACTACACAAGCACTAAGGAATGTATTGTATTTAAAATTCGAAATCAGGCATTCAACAAGTACAAAGAAATCATTAGTTCATTCAAACACCACAGGAATTCAATCAGATCACAGGCCGTTTTACTAGGTATCTTTATCAGTGTAAATTTTGGAGATATTGCGGATAAACTTTTGCACCACCACATGACAGTTTATCTCGTTGAAAATAGTCAATGGATATAAAATTCAACCAGTGGGTGGATAAAATGGTTAAGATGAAAAGAAAACTAAAGATAATCATTGGCAATATTATAACTCCGCGCAAGAACAATAACTACATTTTCGAGAAATATCACGCAAACGTTCCTCGTGATTTGGAATGTTATCATAACAATTAGGCAATTATTCATTTGGGTCTTACACAGACGTCATCCAGTATATGTGAATAATTAAGATGTACTATTTTGATGATAAAATTCCAAAGCATCCCCCTGATTCTTTTGAAACGTTTACGCGACGCCTAAGAGGTGAATATTTGAGATGGATTTAATAGCTAGTCTAAATCCATAACTTACTAATCCTATGAAATATATCTATCTTAGTTTGATTTCTTATGTATTCTTTGGATGATCACGTCTACACAATGGAGTATTAAAAGATTAATGCAAAATGTTTTTAGAAATACTACGTTTCAAACAAACGTCTTTGTAGACTGTCCGGGAAAATAAATAAAATAATGCAACGTGGATTTGGTGTAGTGACCATCTTCCAGAATAAACATTTGTCTCAGTTTGTACATTCTGGATGGGCAGACAGTGGTTAGATTAGCAAATGAAGGCGAATATACAGATAAATCGCATACATAGAGACGTATAATTGATTTATAGGAATGAGCGAATTTAATTAAAAACATTCACTCGTACTGTAGGTCATAGTTGTCCATAAGGATTTTAGGATTATTGAAAATATTACATTTTATTGATCAGTGATTTACCTTATGATTTTTTTATCTACTGAAATACGAGTAATTTGACGTTGGCGTATTCGAATACACCAATACACAGTATCAAGTGACTTCGAAAGCCAAAATTTATTATGATGTTGGATTGGTTGGGATATAATGTCACTCTGCAAAACTTAGTCAGGATTTCCACTTTATCAGCCTATCATTGCTACTATTTCAAATCAAATCTACCTATTCTGTATTATCACTTTTGCTCGTACTTCTACAGACACACAGCTGTAAGTCTCCGAATGAATCGTTCCATATTAGACTGAACATAAAAAAATCAGAGTGGATCACTAACATTGATCTTTAAAAGACTGCCCTCATACGAAGTGCATAATGGAAAATTTAGAATTTATATCTTTGACCTTGTGATTACCTACTAAGTGTGGCTATTCTAAAGTTCAGCGTCACCAGAATAAAATGACTGTCGGTGAGATAAAAGGGAAATCTAAAGTTGAGGATAGTTCTGAAAAGAAAAACCCAAAGTCAGTCGAAAAGATAGACATTACACTTTTGGAGGAAGATGACGACTTCGAAGAGTTTCCAGCTCATGGTAAGTACATGTAAATAATCATTTTCAAAATCACTGTAGCTTGCGTAGAAGGCCATCCTAATGAGGAAGCTACTGTTTGGGAAGACAACTGGGATGATGATATTGTGGATGACGAGTTTACTCACCATTTAAGGTATTCATGATAAAACGATGTCACTTTTTGTTAGAGCTGAGTTCCAAAAACAGGGAAAAGCCTTCGTTGTACCTGAAATTTCTGCGAATTTGGACTAAAAAAATTCAGAAAATATGATATAGTTAAATAAAGCTATTCTCTAAATTGTCTGCGTTGTTTTGGTTTGCTCGTTTGCTTTCAATTTGGATGAGCTTTTAGTAAATTATATATTGCTGCAATGTAACTTTCTATTCAATTTCTAAAGAATGTTTGATATTGTTTTAAGCAAAGAACCTTGGTTCAGAATTCTTATTTGTCTATCTGATTTGTGGATTACGTGATATTTTGAAGTCCACATGTATCAATGGATTTGTTAGTGAGGAAATCACACCTCGTTAATCAGCATAATTGCGACCGTTCACGAAGTAAAAAACAAGTTGCTTAGATGTGGAAGCTAAGAATATCTCAGAAGCTAATTTTAAATGTGTGTCTGAAGATTTAGTTACTACACATCAGTGATGGAAACATTCTTGGATAGTTGTGTTCATATAAAATGATTTTCGAAATTATGGAAACTGATTCAACGGTACTTTTTAGACATGTCACTCATACATTAACTGAGACCTCAGTTAACTATGGTAATAAATATGAACTATAATATTTGAATTTTTTGGTAGTAGTTTGTCAGGTTCTTTCGATCTTTACTTCATTGCACTAATTTGTCATGGTAACGTGAAAGTATACTCTTTATCAAATTTATCCATATAATTGAGTTAAGGTTTTCATTCGAATGACGGCAACATTCAGTCGGACTTTTCTCCAGGATTCTCATTGTATGCGTGTCAATTCGATGTTGAACCCATTAACGTATCGGTTATTAGATGTTTCACGTACTAAACTTTCATCTATGTAGGAAGTAGTATAAGGATTGAACAATTGGCCTTCCTAGTAAAAGGCTTGTTTATAGATCAAGTTCTATGCGCTCATCGAAGCCTATTGCTTGAAAAATGCAGTAAAGTTGCTGTTGTAACCTATATAATTTCGTAAGCGAAGAACAAAGCTCAAATTACTTTCAGAATCACTATCATATCGATTGTAGTACATCCTTAATAAACTAACGTTTTTATGTACTCCCTATTTGAGTCATTAGTGGTTTTACTATCGTCGAGACTACATTTATCCAGAAACAACTTAAGGGACTTTGCAGTTTGCTCGTAGTAACGTTGCCGTGTGTTAAGAGTTTCCTTGAGTCGCCCTATTTCTTCAGACATCTTTTTAAATCATATTCTCAATGTTTGATCTTTCTCACTACCATTAGTCGTACAAATGTTTCAACTCTGGTATGTATCTTACTCGTCATTAAAACGTGGGCTAGTGTATAGTTGTGGTAGGTTCTGCGTTAATCATGACTGACTAGTGATTTCAGCCTATTCATAGATCCATTTTGAGTCTTGACTTTATATCTAGCTGGGTATTTCGTAACTACATATAACGACGTGTAATTTAGTCGTTTATATGCTTATTACGAGCCTGTTTACCGGAAGTAATTAGTTTCATATAATGATGTTTGCTTCTGTTCTTTCATTACCCTAGATAAACAGCCTTTAAAATGTGGTACTTGAAACCAGCGTGCTGTTTATGTCTGATGGAACCACCGACTGCGTTATGTTTATGTCATACGTGGATTTTAGGTAGAAATGGGGGCTCAATCTACAAGGCTGTAAGCCTGCATGTTATGAACACCAAGCCACAATTTACTTCGATTCCCTTTGTTATCTATCATACGAGTTGGTGGAAGTTATTTATTTTATCTCATTTGAACACAGATATTGGTACAAGGAGGCACTAAATATATATGCGCCACACATCTCATTTGATTTATGTATTTATTATTTATTCATTTATTTGAACACATAAATATTGGTACAAGAGGGCACCAAATATATATATATATATATATATATATATATATATATATATATATATACTACCCGGGTGCCCAAACCGACGAAGGTGGTTTTCTTAGGGAGCCACACCCGAAGCCTTCGACCTGAAGATCTGTTCCACAAGGCAGTGGAGCATCGTAAGGAGATGCAGTCCCATGGTAGCCGGTGACCAACGATTGGTTCATACGCCATTTTCCCTTAAGATCCTGGAGCCTATGTGCACCATTGGTTTGGAATCAGGGATTTCCAACTCCCCCAGGTGGACTCTCCGTTTCCACCAACCCGGTTAAAGCGCCGGACATTCGCTTTGCGTACTCTCAATTTCCTGAACACCCCCTCCATGAGAAGACAATGAGTAAGACTTCCCTGGCAGAGTCTATATACGCGTGGCCATGTGAGAGCATTTCGAGAGGAAGAGCGGGCTCTCCCCATTCTCGGCCGTACCAGGGCATTTGGGGGAAAGGTAATGAATCCCAGTTTATGATGTGATATCAGTTCGTAGCTCCGCCACTTGTTGGTCTTAGATGTATGGGGAGATGCAAACTTCCTTACTGGGGATTTCACAATAACTCGTCTGTGTTAAGTGATGTTAGGTGGAAATCCCCCAGGTTGGTTGTAATTGGACCCATTCTTTGTATCCCTGTAGATCTTAACATCATTCCATAATTTTTAATTTTTCAGTCTCATTTATTTCGAACTATATTCCTCATTTTTAAAGTTTGCCATTGCATCTGATATTATTATTTTCATATGATCAGCTTTTTCTGTGCTAATATGAGGCGTGATTTCTACTGGTACACATTCGTGACAAATCTTATTGTCTATGAATAAGTGACCCTTTTGTGTCAACAATTAAACCTTTTCTTTGGTAGACTAAAAAATTTTGGGTAGAACAACAATCCATTTGTTAGTTTAGTGAAGTTTTCAAGTGTGATATTGTTACCTTCTTTAGTTATTTTTTAATAAGCTGGTTGTAAGGCCAGATATACGTAGTCAGTGTTAGACGTTTGTATTGGTTTTCAAGCAAAACGTTAAGTTAACCATTTTTAAGTGGTATACTTAGATTTAGTGGTTGTACATATTCCTAATCCCGAGGACTTAATGTGTGAGCACTTGTTCTTGAAATAACCATCTCAGCATTTGGTGGTTACGTTGTTTCCTAAGCTATCCGTCTGTAAACTTGTTTTCCTTTTGATTTTACTAACGGCTTATATTTTTTAGTTTTCAGATATGCAACCTATAAACAATATTGTTAGTGAACACATATCTACCGGTTCCTCATGTTATAAACTTGATCCTTTGCCAGATTTTCATTCCAAAGAAATATCAATAAAACGTAGTCCAGATCCATATCCAAACGAATTCTGCAGTCTCAATCCACAACACGATGATGACTTATGCAAGTCTGTTTTTAATAATGTACGTTCTCTGGATGAACTTGAGGCAAATTCTGTTCATTCTCCTGAAGAAACTTTACTCCTTACAAATGTCAACGGCTTTTGGAAACAAGAAAATATCAAGTGGTCATCAAATAGTCCTAAATTTTCACCTCCAACGAGTCCATCGTTTTCATACCAATCTATTTCTTCAGATTGTCTTAGCGACGAACCTGAACACAAACCTCAACCTTTCTTACGTTCTCATCATGACAGCAGCTCTGAAGAAGTAAGCAGAGCTGACGAAGTGAAAGAAGATATGAAGTCTGTCAGATCCACTTTTATGCGGCATATGCAGTTTCCCACTAAAATGTAAGATTCTACAGTGAAGTATTCAACTTTGTTTCGACCTAATGTGCACATTAACAACACACTACTTGATACCCTCGATTCTTTTTTGTTTACATGTTACATTTACTAGTGAATACTGATAGGTAAAGTTAGAAAGCCTAGAATTTACTCTCAATATTATCAAGTTATTATAGCTCAAGACCATGTCTTTATTACAGATTGGAACCTTTCCCCGTATGCTGAGGTTTGAGCAACCAGGGGCCATCATTATCCCCCACTTAATCGCTTGAAAAAAGTTATTAGTGGCTGTGTGATGACTTTCAAGTTGTGTAGTGACTAGATTTTTTCCGGCTTTTTGTTAGTAGCGTGATCGCAAACAAATGACCACAGAATATCCTATCTAATTAAAATCTTATTACAACTAGTTTCACCTCGTGTTTAATTTCAGTGCAAATGTTTTTTCACAAATATCATTTCCTAGTAAAATTAAGATTGAATTTCAAACTGTAACTAAAACATATTCTTTCATCCTTTAACATATATACATACACAATTACACAAAGCTGCCTCACATAAACCACCTTGACTGAAATTACATGACTGACTTTGTCAGACTTGATTTTGATTGGTCGCACCAAATATTCTCGCTTTGTTCATTTATACTATTTAAACGGGTTAATTTAACTTGTTTATTCATTCTCTAAAGAAGTGGCTTACACTGAATCACAAAACGTCAGAAATATAAGAATTGATTGTCCTACTCATTTGAACTTTACAGATATATCATTTTTGTCAGTAGTAGCCTATCCAATACTCAGTTTATTTAAAATAATCAAGTCAAACCTTGTTGATTACACCCGAAACGTATTCTGTTTTTATTTCCTATTTCTATAAGTCGCAGTCAGTGGAAGCAAAATTTCAACAAATCTCACATTGTCAGAAGCAGTTTAACTTCTACAGCACGTAAGAAAGCCTTACTAGCTAAAGCAGTCAGTCGCAAGCTGATGTATTCACAGTTATCTAAATCCATCTCTGTCCAACTAAATCAAGAATCTTGGCAAGTTGGAGAGCTAGTTTGGGCTCGTCCTAATTGGCCCGAAAACTTACCTTGGTGGCCAGCCATAGTAACTGAAAAACCGAAAAAGTACCAAGCCAAGGGTTTTGGTAAGTTTATACGTGCAGAAATTTTGGAAATTCAATGTTTCTTGGATGCATATCTCAAGTAATTGGTATAAATGTTTTGATTTCTCAATATGAAGTGTTTTATTGGAACTGCATTTGATTTTGAAGCTGGATTTCCTAACAAGTTTAACATAGACGAGAACATCATATTACTATCAACCATAATAAACGCTAGTACTCGTAGGATGTTGGTCATCACCTTTTGCACCCAGAGATGAAATAATTCTGATTATTTATTTATGACATTCGTAACTTCTACCTGTTCCATACATTCTCACTAAGTTAAAATTTAGTTGAAGTTGATTGAAGAGAACATGATTTAACATGACGTCATATATTTACTTGTGTTACAAAGGAGGCTTTTCATAATGAGTGAAATTTCGATTGTTGAAATCAATGAATAGAATGCTAAACAACAGATAAACGCAATAACGTGATGTGACCGAGTAATGGTTGGAAATCAAAGACATGACCATTAACCGAAAGAATGTAGATTTTCTATCTCATAAAAAGATATAGTTATATAAAGAACATGAACACAAAATAAACATATGATTTCATATGCGACTAGAAAAATTTAGCTCATGGGTTATTAATTCTCCAATCAATTTGGACCTATCTGTTAAGCCTAATTTTTAAGCAGTACCGCCTTTCACAAAATGGTGTGGAATCCTTCTGTGATAACACTGACAAAAAGATTATACTTTCGCTTCACTTCATAAATCCTTCAATTCTATTACCAGTTGTATTTTTGTTTCTTTTTCCGATCGAAACTGCCTCGACATAAAATGTAAGACGCTTCAGTTCACAGTTCAGAAAATTATGACTTCATTGCTAGGGGTAAATTTGAATTAACGGTGACTTCGTTGTATTATTGCTTACAATGATTGTATTGTTGCATTAACTGAGATTTTCATCAGTGATGCATTCTTTCTTAAACGAAGTGGCTTCTGAATTAAGAATGTGTGAGTGTAGCCTAGGTTTTATTTGATTGACAAACATTTCTGTAAGTTCTATCTACGACTATTAACTGAGGGAGTAATGAGTTTCACTCGTACCAGCTTGTCTGGTTTGAAAGTGTTTATTACGAAGTTTGAGTTTAATTAATTTTCAAATTAATTTGTTAGATATTAAACTCAATACATTTATAATCACAAAGTAATTACATGTATAAATGTCGTATTCAAACTAATAAACAGGCAGCCTTGAAATCGTTAATTATTGAGGTTGCTTTCCCTAAAAAATATATTTTTTGCCTTTCTTGGGTATTGCTCCAAGTTATTGATGATTTGGGGTAAAATTTTTCCGCGAATTCGTTCTTTTTTCTTGAATCATATTGTCTATGCTTGATCCTTTCCATTATCTGTGATACTAATGCTGCTTGTACTACCTGGCACTTTTCTCGATAATTTCATTTTTCTGTACTGATATGTTGTAGAAACTTGAACCAACGTATGTGCCAGGTTTTACGCTGTACATGAACGACTGAAAGCATTGTAGAAGCGGGTTTGGGCACCCAGGTGGTATTCCAGCCCTCACACAAATCGAATGATAAAATGTGGCGCATATGTTTATGTTTAAATAAATAAACAGAAACGTAGCTTGAACATTTTAATATGCTGTCTCGTTTATCTTGAAAAGTATAACTGATCTGCCAGTGAGAAGACTTGTACAAAATTTCTGAGTTTTCAATCACTTGTAGACTTTCTGCTTATTCAGAATATAGTTTTTCAAATAACGGAGTAAAATGAGTGGATCTTATTCAATTGGATTTTTATTAGTTTTTTATGATTTATAATCTTAATGTATCAAATTACAGTAAAGGTTGGCAGATGAGTATGGCATAATCAGGCAGAAATTTAAAAGAATTTTGAAATAGTTGTTATGTACATGTACATCTGTAAATTAATCGATCAAGTGTCATCTTAAAATAGATTGAGTCCAAGTAAGCTCAAGCAAATTGAAATTCGGATTTAGTAAGTAAATAGGTAGATAACTTGACAATGACCGAGAAACTCTGTGTATATACTTCCCAGTAGTTTCTACTGGTGTGAAACTACCTAAGATATTCTTACAATCCAAGAGTCATTAAAAAGTTGCTTCACTCCATTGTCAGCTACCTTACTGATTCACATTTTATATTGTATATAAAGGTCTAACCCAAACCTGATTCTGTTGTTAGCTTGAAATAAAACGTTATCTGTAAACATTGTTCCTCACTACCAAGTTGATCCGCTCTGTAAGGTCATATTCTTTCAATAATACTTCGAAAATCCTATCTACAATCAAATTTCTTCATCATTATTTTTTTGTTTACATCACATGTATTCGGTGAACCACCTCATCCAAAGTTTAGTGAGTTAAACTTCGTCTTCTCATTGCATTATCGAAATTTATCAAAAGGACTAATTGTTTTAAATTTAATGAGTTAACTAAATTATAGCTGATTCGAGGTTCATAATAAGCTGAATTTATTGTAATTAAAAGATAAGTGTTAAAAAATTGCGTTGATAAAAAGTTTACAAGTGTTCCTTTCTGTTCATATAAATATTACTTTACTAACCAAGAGATTCGGGAAACCAAACGGTATCTGAATTATTTCACTTGCTAATCATCTTAAATAATTTCAGCTGACTTACTTGGGGTAATGTGTATTTATTAAATGTCCAGATAGTACACTGAAAAAAGTAATCATAACAGGCAGTTGTAGGCTTTTTAAAGACACAAAATTGAAGACAAACCATAATTTGTTCTTCTCGTATCTTGACAGGCCCATATGGATAAATGAAGATAGTTGTCAGTGATCTATGTAGAGTACTTACTGTTTGTATCAGTTGAACGAACTAACCAAACACAGACACATATGGAAACTAACTTGACTGTGTCTTCTATCCAATGCAGCGTTTACTCTTCCGTCATTTTTTGTTCTCACTTATAACCGAAAGGAACTGTTGTAAGCAATATGCCTGAACACCGATTACCACGGCGCGCAATGCTGACTGGTGTTGAAGACGGTTGGAAGAAAACTAGAGGCGACCAAATCAAAACATGGTATCAGTCCTTGAAGTCACTAACTTTTAGTTTGAACCATGTTGGTAGATGCAGACTACTTGGTCGGGGTCCGCGCGACTATTGTAACCGATGGTTGTAGACTCTGAGTGACATGGCTCAGAATCAATCACATTGGCGTAGGTGTATGCACAGTTTGTCTTTCCTTAAACCGTGAGATTAAAATTACTTTATACTTTTCTTTCTACGAGCTAATTCTTTCTTCCTGTATCGTATTCCGATATGAAATGTTTTTACTACCATTGAAGTAACTGCTTCTATGAATTTGGTGTTCAACTTGTGCTGATGAAGTGTGGAAACTTGGACCGATGCATATACGTGCCTGGTCCTACATTGTGACTGATTGGATCAGTCTGTTACTGAGTTTTCTTTCATTTTTTTTTCTCTACTCCGGTTTTCAAAAAAGTAGAGTATGTATGACAGAAAGTGATTGATAAAATAGAAATATACATTTCTATCTAATTTTTATATAATAGTAAGCGAAGTAAATTAAGATCCTAAGCACAGTTTTTATCTTAGTAATCCATTATTTTTAATAAAATCACTTAGCACTTTATTTCTGCTTTGTCAACCGAAATCTGACCATGTTTGTTAATTTTCTTAAGATGGACAAGTTCTTAGGTTCCTGTCCTAATGCATGGAGAAATAAGATTTTTTAAAATTTTCTCTTGATTATTAAGTGTGATACATTTTGTTAAAAATGTATTATGTTCTACTGTTTGGCTTAAGTAGGTAGAAAACTGTGGACCTATTGTATTTACGTATATTAGTGGTTGTGCCTTCGCGTGACGGGGTTTTTGTTTACGAAATCGGGAGGGCGAAAAGCAAATGTCTGGTTAGTGGCTACAAAGGATCCACCTAAGGGAGTTGGAAAACTGATTGCAAACCAGTGGTATACCTGAACTCCGAGATCTTGAGGGGAAAAATGGCGCATGAAACTATTGTTGGTCACCGGCTACCATGGGACTGCATCTCTTAATGTTGCTCCGCTACCCTGTGGATTAGACCTCTGGGTCAAGTGCTCGATGGAGTGACCACATAAGAAAACCACCTGTTTCGGTTTGGATAACTTGACAGCACCCCAGGCCACACACAAACTGAATGATAACTACTTTGTGTGACGCATATATATTTTGGTGTCCGCTTGTACAAATGTTTATGCGTTGTGGATATTACTAATAGTTTACATAAAGTAAAACTGCCTCCTCTATTGTAGTAAAACCAAATAACTAATGAAAATGTCTTTTTAAAAAAACCATCCTATAGGTTTGAAGTCTACAAATGATTTTAATGATGAAACAGTGCCTACATTTCGAGTTTGCCTTTTGGGTATTATTCGACCGTTATCTTTTCTAACACTTCCACAAACTCGTTTACGATTATTTTCTGGTCGAGAAGAATTCGAATCGTTTCTTCGTCAAACTGTTTTAGAAGCAAAAGATAAAGTTCGGGTAAGTGAAAATATCTACTTGTTTTCCTTTCAATTTTTTTACTTCTCAAATAGCTGAATTACGTTCTTATTTCTAATCGAAGCCGAGTGTTTGCAGCTTAGTAATCAACTACAAGCGAGTTTTTATTCTCTACCTATTTAATCCACCTAAAATCTGATATAGCTGGCCAACAAAAGTAGTTTGCTGAAAATAAGATATAATTTGTATATGGGTTGGGATACTGTCCATACTGAAGCGGTTGGTATCCTTTGGAGGCGACTTCGCACATTTTTAACCTAAATGGGGATTCCACAATGTAATGGAGAAACTTCAGTAGCTGACTTCACAAGGTAACCGATGGCCAAAAGTAGGTTCGTATATCTTTTGTCCCTTCAGAATCTTGAAGCCTATGGAATCAGGGTTCTCCGACTTCCCCTGGTGGGCCCCTCGTACCCACCACCTCGGTTTCAATATCGGATATTCGCTTTTCGTTCTCTCACTTTCATGAGGAGCACCCTCGCAGCATATGAGTCGGTAATTCTTCCCTGGAAGAGGCTATAAACGTGTATCTTGATGAGAGCGTTTTGAGAGGGCGAGCGAACTTCACCCATCCTCGGCTGTACCAGAGCATATAGGTATACTCAAGACTTTTTTTATCGCTTCAGTTAGTCAACGAATATTTCAAGTTGATGTGAGTCATCGGCTTGTCACATATTTGTAACATTACTTCAGCTAATGTTGGTTGATTAGTTTTACTCGTTTTTCCATCTTAAAAATGTTTTGTAGAATTTCAAACTAGTGTTAAGGGTATCAACTATCTCTTTCAAGTCACCGAATAAGAGTTTGTTACTAGTCAAACAAGTCCCATATAAATTGATTTTTTTGGTTTATAAACTTCAGGTAGATTTTTTATTTAGTTATTCATTACTTATGTACTTTAGGCATTACGTCAATTTACTGTTCACCCAAGTTTACAATCAGCTTGGCATCGTGCTAGAGAGGCTGCAGTGGCAGCTAAATTGACTAAACCAGTGCCAACTGACCGATTAGCACTGTTTCCATGGGCAACTGAGCCTTCATTTCGCAAACTGGATCCACTTTCAGAATTTGTTAGAAAAAATACTGGAAAGTTCACCTTACACTGTAAGCTTTTTTAAATGACATTTTCATCTCTTTGGACATTACTTGGTTTTTATGCATAGTGTTTATTAAAGTTTCTCTAGCGGAATTCGTTGTTTCATATTTATTGAGGCGTGGTTTGGTAAACACTCCAGGTAAAACTATCCTATATATGTTTGTTCTTTGGTGCATGAATCGACAATTAACTAAATATTATACTGTGAAACAATCTACATAGTTTCTACTTTATTCTATATAATTGGTTTACGCTAATATGGGTAATCATAGTGATTCAATGTTTTTTTAAATACATTTGAAGCCATCAACAAGTCAAAATACTTTATAAGTATATCCTACGTTTAACTGTTGACTTCTTTTTTGTCTAATCTACACAGCAGTTTGTACTTGTAACGTTTACAAGTTTTATTACTTACATCCGACAACTTAAAATACTCAATTACTTTTTTTGTTATAAGATACTAGAATACAAAATTTATAATTATATTTAGTATCATAATACAAACCAAGTGAAGCAACATAGCTGACAAAAACAACAATCATTTATTGTAATAAATGTTTTGTTAATATCTTATTCATTTGTTTCGCATAGTAGAAAAAAATTATAACTATTTATTGCTAGTTGTAAATATGTACTATTGCATAAAGCATTGTGATTTCTTGTGTACTGCATTCGGTTTTCAACAAATAAAGGTTGTAGGTTCGAATCATGAAGTTCTAGATTCAGTTTATTTATTCGTTTAATATCTGTAGCCTTCATACAAAACCATGTTACTCAAAACTGATCATATAAATATATGTACTTGGTAATTTGATTACGTTCCGTGGGATCGTGTCATATTCAATTAATTAAATCCTTAAACTCAATTTATTTTTATGTGGATTTGTTTACAAATTAATTTTTAAAAAGAATTAATGTTTATTTTCTATTTTGTCTACTTTCTTGCTGAATTTTAATAAGCTAAATCACGTAAACGTCCATACCGAGATGAGGCCAGTGAAGGTGGGTCATTTTTGTCGTCATCATCAGATGACTCAGCCACCTCTGTAGCATCTGACAGTGATATAGATTCTAAAGGAAGGCATCATCGTCCCAGTTCGTATATTTCTTCTTCTACATCAACTAGTTCCATCGGTCATAGAAAACGGTTGAAATTATCAAATGATAGTTCAAAGGTTAGCTTTTGACCGGTGTTTGTTTGCTTCATTCAATTTTACCTTCTTTTTTTTTTTTTTCAAAATCGTATCGATTTCCATAAGGAATTTTGCTTTGTCTTTGTTCAGTATTTATGTTTATGTTGGATAGCTCTTGTGTATTTGATAATAATTGAAAGAGAAATTTATTCATTCACTTAAAAACCAGTATGAAGTACAGTGTGTTATTGTCATCTACTGTAACTTTACTATTGCTACAAATTGGTGTTGAACTAAATCAAGGCAAGCACAGATACTGAGGTCGAGAACAAAATATCAATAATATCAGCGTTTGTTGGTACGATATAAAATGGAAACTAATGAAGAAGCAGTTCATTACATGTATATAACGCGTAAGAGTATGTCTGTACGTGCTCACCAGCCCATAATAGATTACTTCAACTGGACACATCTTTTATATATATTTCAGTGTTAGATTTAATCTCATGATTAATTTCATGGGAATCTTTTGTGTTCAGGTCAAAAATAGCGTAAACATATCACAACCACGTAGTAAATGCACTTTAGCTGATAGATATAAATTCGAGACTAAATTATGTTTGGGGTTTGAATAAATTTAGAGAGCTCTTCAATGTCTAATAAAGTAATTAAAGCAACCCATAGTGTCATTGAATAAGAAAAAGAGAATTCAGCGAAGAATATTTTTTTTTGGACGAAATCATTTACTTTCTATCCTTCTATAGACATACATATTCCATATAACTATATATGCGAATGTACATCTTAAGTAAATGATTTCGTCGAAAAGAAAATTTTCTCTGAATTCTCTTTTTCTGATTCAATGTCTAATAAAGTTTAATATATTTTGATCAGCTACGTTGTTAACAGTTGAATATGGATATTTATCAAACATTCATTTGAAGAAAGCGACCACGTAATTGTGTCATAAGTTAAAGTTTGTTTTATTCTAAGTACTGTTCAATTAAGTGCTGATCAGCTGATGATAGGAAATCATGCTATGGTATTCAATGGCAACTAACTGCTTACAAGGCCTGATTTGCGCATTGATTAGAAAAATCGGTCTGATAAGCATTTAATTGTAACTTTATTCTTCTCCTTCTATAGACATATAGTTCTCATTGAACGTTAATTTCTTTTAAGCTTTGATCTTTATGTTTTAAAATTCTTAAAATTGTCATGCTCGACAGAATTTCTAATATTAGAAAAGCATCTTTTTCACTTGCTTTGTCATTGGCTTTACTTTAATTCCTGATTATGATTTTTCAGTTTGTATGCCGTAAACAACTGTCTGAATTCTGCATAAAGATCTTCAACTTGTCACTCACTGCTTTCTTGTAATTCTTCTTTTTTATATCTATTTTCATATTAGAATGAAAAAACTGGTCAACGTTGGATAGATTTAGCGAATAGTTTTGAATTTGAAAAATTGCGTTTTGGTCATACAACACCAAAACATCATTTTATGTGTAGTGTTTGTGGTGAGTTCAATAATAACACCTCAGTAACAACAACCAACAGTCATTCAACAGTAAACACTGCACAACCAATTCTATCCGATGTAGCACATACAACACAGTTAGATTCACAGAGAAATTGTAATCAAGTATCACAACAACATGATAAATTAGATGGTGTAATTATGCCATGTGCTGGTTATTGTGGAAATTATTTACATTTAAATTGTGCTCCATATATATTTTATAGAAGTATAAAACAAAAAATCCCCGATCATAATGGTACAGACGATAGTAATCATCAAGTAATAACAACAATGAGTAATAATAATGTAAAAGATATTAAATGTTCAATGACAAAAGATCCAACAGCAACATCTGTAATAAATAATGATTCACTACAACCTAATCCAGTGTGTAATCTCTGTTTAGCTGGATTAAGACAATGTTTTATTTGTTATGTAAGTTGAAGTCGATATTTGTTTTTTTTTTCTCCTCTAGGCTTTGTTATATTTGTTATCTATTTATTAGTGGTATAATTGGTTTCCGCTAAATTAAAAGTTTTCTCCATTCATAATACACGTGTTAACGTTCCTAATAATGAACATGAATAACTTTCTAATCTAGACGAAGAAGAAAAGTTTTGACTTCATAATTTATTTAACTTATCAAAGTCTAGCATCTATTGCATATAAATATCTTTATTATGTCCTTAAAAGAAAAATGCCTATAAGAAGACTTAGTTTTCAACGATAGTTATTTTGATTTCGTATTTATGTATGAAGTTATGGTTTACGAGTTAAAACACTTAACATTTAGTTAGTCAACCTTTCCATTTTTATCCAGACTGTTAAGTAATATCACTGGAAATCTTAATGTGCGTTACCTGTAGCCCAGTATTCTAGTCTGTATATAGATAACAGATTTGTACTGTAATCAGTTATCTGATTAAAAAAGTCTATGTTAATTTAATTTTCTAGTACAGTAATTAAAATATTGAAATTTCTGTGTGTGTAGATTATATTCACTAACTGTTTTCTTTTCAAGTTATTATTGTATTTTTGTTAGCTTACATCATTAATCTAACTCATTTACCAAGTACATGTTTATTTCCTGGACATCGGGTCATACTTTTATTATGGAGGTCAGTGGTACTACGATGTCGTTCAATTCAAAGTAGATGGTGCGAGGTTTAAATCTTCAGCCTAATGGTTTAAATTATAGTGCTTTGATCACTAAACGACTTTCACATGCATCATTACTTACATAATACATACTTGTTATCTTCCATGACATTAGTTAGACTAACAGATTTTGATTTTACAATTCAATTAAACGAGTCATTTGTATAACCTGTCCATAAAAGAAACATGATTTAATAATCTAGTCATACTATCAATAAAAAAACATGTAGATGATGTTTTATGTTCCATAACATTATTGTAGTACTTGTTTATTGGCCACGCGTATACAGCCTCTGCCAGGGAAGTCCTACTCACTGCCTTCACGTGGCGGGGGTGTTGTTTACGAAAATGAGAGGACGAAAAGCGAACGTCCGGCGCTATAACCGGATCCCAATTCTATGGTGCACATGGGCTCCAGTATCCTGAAGGAACAAATGGCGTATGAACCAACTTTTGGTCACCGGCTTCCATGGGACTGCATCTCCTCACGATGCTCCACTGCCTTGTGGGTTAGACCTTTAGGTCAAAGGCTCGGGGTGTGGCCCCCTAAGAAAACCACCTGCTTCGGTTTGGGCACCCGGGCAGTATCTCAGCCCACACACCAAAACATGATGAAATATTCGCTTACGGAAAATATTCGTTCTTCTCTGACTAACATTGAAATGACTGATACTATTATTATTATTATTATTATTATTATTATTATTACTTACTACGTCATTTACTCACTATCTCCTATTTCTACTTTTTGTATCCGTTTCGACCCAGACAGCAGCTCGCCTATGGTAAAAATTCAGCTTTATCTAAACGTTCTCGAGTCACTGCCTGGTTTGAAAATTGTATGTTACCATCGAATACGAGTACTGAAGCAGTCTTTCTGAAACCACGCGCACCATTCAAACTGGCTGCCTTTAACGTTCGCACACTTATGCAGGTCGGACAACAGATAGGGCTGGCAATGTCTTTGGAAAGTCTTAATATTGATGTGTGTTGTCTATCCGAGACCCGTATTCAAGACTCTGGTGAAGTACTACAAGTTCGCTCTCCATCTGTCGCTCCAAAAAGCTTGTTTTACGTGCGTTTATCCGGGGACCCTGTGGCATCTTCGTCTGGTCTTGCTGGCGTTGGTGTCGCACTAAGCGCAAGAGCTGAGGCAGCACTAGTCGACTGGATCCCCATTAACAGTCGGTTATGTGCTGTTAGATTAGAAAGTACCATCAGAGTGAGAAGAAATCGGCGTGAGAAACGATGTCTTTTCGTCATCTCCGCCTATGCCCCGACAGATTGCAGCCCGGATGCAATCAAGGATGAGTTCTACCACCAGTTATCTGTTCTTCTCCAGAAAGTGCGTTCGACAGATATTGTAGTACTAGCTGGAGACTTGAATGCTCAGGTCGGGCGTCTAGGCACAGAAGAGAGTCGTTTAGGTGGCCGATGGGGACTCGTTGGTCGCAGGACAGATAACGGGGAACGTCTACTGCAACTATGCACAGACCACAACCTGTTTCTGGCTAGCACTAACTTTCGGCACAGTCATCGCCGATGTGCCACCTGGCGTCCCCCTTCTGCATCTCAAGCCTGGACTCAGATTGATCACATCGCGATCAGCTACCGCTGGCGCGGTTGTGTACAAGACTGCCGCTCCTTTTGGAGTACCTATCTGGAATCTGATCATGCTCTGGTCTGCGCCAATCTTACCTTACTTTTCAGTGGACAACGAAGTGACCGCCACCACAGGATTGATGTTAGCAAGCTTGCTGCAACTTCTGTTGCTAGTAAGTACCGAACCGAGCTAGCTTCTAGGCTAGCCACTATTCCACCGAAAAGTATAGATGAGCATTGGTTGCAATTGCATGACGCCATGAAAATGGCGGGTCAAGTCAGCTGTGGGATTGCGAAACGTCCCGCTTACAAGCACTGGGTTTCTTCTGGTTCCTTACAACTGATTGAAGCCCGTCGGTCTACTCCGGGTGACCGTGAGTTTGACCACAGACGAAGGTTGTTACGTAATGAAATCGGGCAAAGCTTGCGTAAGGACCGAGAAACCTGGTGGTCGGAGCGTGCCAGTGAGTTGGAAGCAGCAGCTGCATCTGGTAATTACCGGAAGCTCTTCCAACTCATCCGAGCCACTGGCAGCAAGAAGTCTGGTGTGAGCGAAACAATCTGCGAGGATGACGGAACGCCAATCACTAACATCCATCGACGTCTTGGACGATGGGCAGAATTCTTTGAAGGGCAGTTCAACTGGCCTGCTGCTCCGGCAACATCGGTCAGACTGTCCTGCCCTCCTTGGCCGGTGACGACTGATCCACCAAATGAGGCGGAAGTCCGCAAGGAACTCCAACTCTTGAAACGTTACAAATCACCAGGCCCAGACGACTTACCCCCGGCTCTTTTTAAAGATGGTGGTGACTTTCTGACTAAAGGACTGACGACGTTGTTTACAAAGATCTGGGAACTAGAGAGTGTACCAACGTCATGGAATGAGTCGATAGTTGTCCCTATCTTTAAAAAGGGTTCACGTTGTTCCTGTAACAACTATCGGGGGATAAGTCTACTTCCGATTGCGTCCAAGCTATTGGCTTCCGTCATACTTCGTAGGTTGTTCAGAACCCGAGAAGGATTGACTCGCGAGGAGCAGGCTGGGTTTCGTTCTGGTCGAGGATGTATTGATCATATCTTCACCCTCCGCCAAGTGTTAGAACACCGCCATACTTATCAAAGGCCAACAATCGTAGTGTTTCTTGATATCAAGGCTGCTTTCGATTCGTTGGACAGAACTGTTCTCTGGGATTGTCTATTGAAGAAGGGTGTGCCTGAGAAGTTTATTAACATCCTAAAAGCCTTATATACAAACACCTCAGGTAGAGTGAGGGCATACAACCACCTTTCTCCACTATTCCATTCAAGCAGTGGAGTTAGGCAGGGTTGCCCAATCTCACCATTCCTCTTCAACTTTGCCATCGATGACATTCTGGAAACAGCTCTGACGGATGTAAGTAATGGTGGTGTGGATCTGTTGCCTGGAGAAAGACTTCTCGACCTTGAGTATGCGGATGATATTGTCTTACTGTGCGAGAATGCCCAAGCCATGCAATCCGCACTTAATCAGTTGGCAATCAGTGTCCGTAGGTATGGTATGTGCTTTGCACCTTCGAAGTGCAAAGTACTTCTACAAGACTGGCAGGATTCTAATCCTGTACTCACTCTGGATGGTGAGCAGATTGAAGTAGTCGAGAAGTTCGTGTATCTAGGTAGCTGCATAAGTGCTGGTGGTGGCGTGAGTGATGAGATCAATGCACGTATAGTGAAAGCCAGAGCGGCTTATGCCAATCTGGGCCATCTTTGGCGCCTTCGTGATGTTAGTCTGGCTGTAAAAGGTCGGATCTACAACGCGACGGTGAGAGCAGTTTTGCTCTATGCTTGTGAAACCTGGCCTCTCCGAGTTGAGGATGTTAGACGACTCTCTGTGTTCGATCATCGCTGTCTCCGAAGGATTGCTGGCATCCAGTGGCAACACCATGTCAGTAATGCAGAGGTTCGGCATAGAGTGTTCGGTCACAGAGACGATAATGAAATTGGTGTCACCATCTTGAAACACCGACTTCGGTGGCTTGGACATGTTCTACGAATGTCGTCCCAGAGAATTCCTCGTCGTGCATTATTTGCCGACTCTGGGACTGGTTGGAAAAAGCGGAGAGGTGGTCAGTATATGACATGGTGTCGTGGTATGAAAGAAAGCTGCAAAGGGCTAGCTTATGTTGGTCCTTCACGACTCCCTGGTTGGGGTCCGAGAGATGGTGTAACGCAGTGGCTAGAGACGTTATCAGATATGGCTCAGAATAGAAGCCAGTGGCGATCCTGCTGTAACCTTCTTTTACTTTCTTCATAAAAAGGTGGTCGTATTCTTCCTTAACTGAAAGATCTGTTCTGATTGTACCTTTCCGTTTCCCCCACCATTGTTCTCTCTCTCTCTCTTCTTTTTTTTTATAATTCCCCACGTTCATTACTTTTTTTTTTTTTTCTTCTCTTTTCTCCTTCTCTTCTAATTATCACTGTTTTGTGTGGCGCATATATATTTGGTGCCCCCCTGTACCAATATTTATGTGTTCAAATAAATAAATAAATAATATTGTACATAGTCTCAGAATATGTATCAATAACTATTAACTTGCTGTCTAACTTTGTTTATCGCGACTTGCAATTAAAGCTATTTGCACAACAAATACGTGCATCTTATGAATACAAGATGAAAGTAAATCTCCTTTTCATACTTCCTGCATGTTATCTTTTCCATTCAGAGTTTAAGAAATTTCTGGCAATCAGGAAGCAGTTTGCAGTTCTGTGTCTAACCATCTAAGTACATGGCTTAACAGATATATTAATTGTTTACTATACATTTGTTATCATAAAATATGAACAAAGCACTACTCATAAGTTTGATATATATATATATATATATATATATATATATATATATATATATATATATATATATAGTTGTCCTACCAGGGTGCTTGGTACCTGTGTGGTTGCGCCACAGGATTGGGCTACACTATTTAGATTGTAGCGTTAAAGCCTATACGGTGTCTGGCTCTCCTGTTAAACGGGCTTGGGCTGTACTGTTTGGGTTGTCACGTGAAAGTCTGGACGGTGTCTGGTTCTCCTGAAAACCGATGTAAAATTACCCTGGCCCACAAGGGTATATTATATTATATAACTGTGTCCTACACCTCTGCTTTTTAAACTTGGATTTTTGTTGGTATTTATTTTAGCTTACCCATCCAGATCCTCATCTATTGACACTTCAAGGATCCAGTTGTTCAGAAACTCCTTCTGTGGATCATGCAATTTCAGATTCATCTGTTGTTGATAAAAGTATCTCTGAAGTAAATATAAAAATTGAAGATGATGTTACTGATAATAATTCACATCAAAAAGATATTCAATTAATATCAGAACCGAGTAAATCTGAATTACCTCGAAGTGGTGATCAAATGATACGTTGTTCAGTACGAGCTTGTCGACGATGGTATCACCCTAGTTGTCTTCGTAAACCACCTTTTGCTGTTGTAGTCCGAGAAGGACGTTCTGGCTCATTCACTTGTCCTGCACATACTTGCTTAGCTTGTTCAGCTGAAACACCTGGCACTATGCCACGACCTTCTCCTCATTTCATTCGTTGTGTTATGTGTCCTGCTGCTTATCATCCAGGAGACTGGTGTTTACCAGCTGGCAGTAAAGAAGTTTGTATTATTTTTTATCAGTATAATTTGAGTGTATAGTGTATTCAAATAGTTTTCTTGCTCTTTTAATATTTCCCTATCCACTTGTTTATTGAGTTAATGAATATTCGCAAAGAATTTAACTTTATTTCTTTACATTCCTAAAAGGAGGAATCATTTTAAATATTTATGTTGCATGAGTTTGCTGCAAAAATCCGCTGTCATTTTACTCAATGCGATGTCTCATCTTTTAAAAATGATTATAGACAGACTTTCGTTTCATTCTAGTAGATAGTAAAGTGAGATTTCTGTAACCTTAACATTTATTTCGGCACATGCTATTAATCCGTTGATGAATGAATAACATATATATAATAGTAATGGTAAGATAGTTGGATTTACTAATCAATATATGACCACTGAATAAACTAATTGAAAGAATAGAACGAGTCTATATAGACATTTACGACATTTAGTTAGAAATATTTTCAGCTAAGTCACAATGTGAATTTATATACATCCTTATCAAATGTATTGTATACGAGAAACTGAAAAGTTTTGGATGGTACGAAAATCTAAAACTGAACTAGATTCGAACCACTGGGTTTTAGATCACTAATTTAACACTTCGTCGACTAGGTTTCAAAAAGATACTAATGTTTATCAAACCTTATTTCGACTTCATTCATGAAATAACATATACAGTTGTTCAATTACTAGTCAGCAATATATATATATATATATATATATATATATATATATATATATATATATATATATATATATATAATATTACACAATCCTGACCAGCCGGATAATCCCACTCCTCAGTTTTTCCAAATATGTCTGAACTGTATAAGTCGCAACCACTATTATTTTTAATAGTTCCACTGACTACAATAACAATCGATAGGTGTCTTGTTAGTTCTAACTGACATTCTTGTTTAACAGTAGTAATGGAAATAACATCATATTAAATGTTTCATTCAAGCAATTTTCTCATGCATACTATACGTTAGTTGAGTTATTTTGAAAAATCAAACCTAATTATCATTCATAATTGTTGGGTGTGTGTATCCGGATGTAATACTTGGTTATCGAAGATGGAAGTGGTTGAGAAGTGTCGGAATTCTCTGAAGAATCGACACACTGAGTCACAAAACGTCAGAAAACCTAAAAATTTAGTCGCTCTATTCATTGGGATATTACAAATATATATCTACCCAATGCTCAATTGATTCGAAACAATTAAATCAAGCCTTGTCAATGACACCTACACACTGTTCATAGTCTGCAGTGATTTACTGAAATAATAGACTTATGACGTAATAGTACTTTTTCTTAAGTAAAATATCCGTGTATTTATGGGTAGTCGATTACATCACCACATTATCTTACATATTACAAGGAGGAAATACTACTCTTAGTTTTGTTCCAGTTATAACAATCTTGGGGGATGCATATGTCCCAATGCATGAGAAATCTAGAAGTTTGTTTATGAATTTTTAACGACAGATAACTAACATGTTTTACTGTGTGTTATTTCATCTAATTACTCGACTATTTTTTTTTATTATTAATTGCTCCGGTTTGATAACTATAGAACATATAAATCACATATACATTTTTCTTCAAACTATAAAAATGTTTTACAACATTTCTCTTTGTTGATATTACGGTTTCAATATTTTCTTTTGTTTGGCATAGATTGCTCCTAATTTAATAATCTGTCCACGGCATGCATTACAAGATGAATGCAAATTGTATACTTCACCTCCGAATATCCAACTTAAATTACCATCATCAGGGCTGTTGAATATGTTTCGACCAACTAACGTATCCTGGTGTTTTATCTGTTCTAAAGGTGGACGTATTATTTGTTGTGAAAATTGTCCAGCTTCATTTCATGAAGAATGTCTTAAAATTGACGAGGTAGATATTTTGTAATTCTTTTCGTCTTTATTGTTGTGTGTTGATTTCCTCTCATTATATAATTATTGGTTGTTGAACCGTATAGTTAGATGCACACTACCTGCTTGGTGTCAGGGCGATTATCGTAACTAGTGATTGAAGACGCTAAGTATCATGGATCTGAACAGGTTACAATAGAGCAGACAAGTTCACTCTTTATGTATCTTTTAATCCTGGGTTCCAGCTGTGTTATATACTTCTCTGTTCCACAAACTCTCATTGAATCATATTGTCTACATCTAATTTTTCCCAGTACCACTGATATTGTTTATTCTTCTAATGCTTTGGCACTTCTGTTGGTGATTTCATCTCTCTGTATTGATATTGTTTGACCTTTTGGACCGATGTACATATATCCCAAGTACTATATTATTGATAACCGAGTAACTAACTGATATTAATTATAACAACTTGGGTATATTGACATAGTATTGTTTAATTTTGCATCCTATGATGCCCCCGTTGTTTCGTTTATCTTATAGTTATTCCGGTGATTTGCTTACTTAGATTATAATAAATTTTCCGAACACAATGTTGTTAGCAACTGTTTTCTATAGATAAATTTATAGCTTTATCAAATAGAACTTTCTAAAAGCACATTGGTTAACTTGTAAGTTCACTGTTTTTTTAAACTGAGCAATTTTAAAATGGTTTTAGTTACAAAGTAAGATGGTCTGACAAATAATTGAAAAAAAGTAGTGAATAGCTATTTCGCCCTTATTTTGAACTCTTCAACAGTACATATCCAAGACCCCACTGCATCTTGTGGCCCTAAATCTGGCTGCATTTAGATCGTATGAATGATTGCTGTCGAAATATATATGTCGCCAATCCTCGTATATAATTATCAATTTAATAGGCATTAATGAATAACGGAATTAAATAAACCAAATACGAGGATGGATTTTTGAATGCGTATAATTTGTACACCCATTGATCTGGATAGACGATCAGAGGAACAAAGCAAAATAACGCGCAGTGAAGGCATGTGAGACCGCTCTATTTAATCAAGCGTTAATCGATATTTATAGTCACATAAAAATAAATTACAGACATTTGATGAATAGGATAAGGAGTGCACACACATACGCTAATATAAAAACAGTCAAGGTTGACAAGCGAATAATTAACAAGGTCAAAATGCTACTTAAGAAGGATGAATAAATTGTCCTTAGCGGAAGCTAGAATAAGCTATATGGGCTGGCATAGCAACCGAAACTACAAGCATAAGATTAAGCCTAAAACCAGGTCTCATATTGAACACTGTACTTTTAGATACCTTAATCAGTGGTATATATTTTCTGTCCAGATTAATACGTTAATTGGTGTAGTTTTCAACCAGTTTCATCTATAAACTACAGTCTTCGACTGTCTACTTGGTTGATAAAATAGGTACTACGACATTCCACTAGAAATTCGAGAAATCCCCAATGGAATACACAATTATAAATTGACCAGATGTTTTACAAAGAGGTTTGTATATGTTTTTAGGATTATCTTCACTACACATTAGCTGGAAAACTATCGGAAACCAGGCTGCGTTGGGCCGTTGGTATATCGCAAGCAGACGAATTCTCTGTCGTCCTGACTACATTCTGAATTTACTTCCATTCATGATTTTGTTGATAATTTTTGTAAATATTACTTTAAATTTTTATTGAGATCATAAACCGATCAACTTTAAATCACAATTAAAAACCTGGAAGCACTGGACGGTCGTATAGTTCTAGTATGTGACTCCTCAACAATGAGCATCCTGACCCCACACGGATTACTTTGTCCGTATCCTCTCGATATGGAATCAGTGAAATGAATACATTTTATATCAAATTCAACGTTCTGTGTTTTGGTTAGACATGTATTTTGAAATGCAGTTAAATTTGTTTCAGAACAAAGACAAATGATGGTATATGTGTGCCTTTGTTCGTCCTACCTGTTCGCAAGTCATTGAAGCGCAGTTAAGGTTCACTTGAACCAGAACTTAGACTCTAACCTTAATACCTTATCGATATGTTGTTTAACCTAATACTGTATCTATTTATGCAAACTAGATTAAGTATTTGTTAATGGTTAAGTAATCCTAATAATCATATAAATGTCATGTCTCATATGTTGTACATTTTATCAAAATTGAATAAGTTTAAACCCTATTTTAATGGTTGTTAACTGTGTAGCCTAACGAAGCTATGTACTTCTTATCAACTTATTCTATTCAGTGACTCCCTAAACATAATATAACTGAAATATAAGATCTTTTCAATATGTTTAGGTCCCTGATAAATTTATCTGTGAAGACTGTACAAACGGACGCATGTTACGTTACGGCGAGATTGTATGGGCTCGTCTACCACCAAGTTTGCAGCTCTACCACCAGCGCTCTTTAAAATTGTCTGGTGTATATAATTCACATCGTCTGTCTCCGTTTAATTTATCAGGAACAATCCGTTCTAATGATTATGCGTCACTTACTGCTGGTATGTATTGGTGGCCAGGAGAATTAGTACATCCAAGACATTTACAAACAAGTCAATGTCATGTACAATCTGAAAATAAAGCTGTTACAATTAATTTTCAACCAACAACTAGCCCAACATCACATTCATTCAACCATATACTTGGTTCAGTGCTTGTTCGATTATTTGGTTTAACTGGTCGCCTGTCTCACCGACATTCACGTCCTGTTTATTTATGGACTACACGTGCTAGATTATTTCCATATGAAGAAGGTGATGATAAACGTGGAGCACACAGTACTAGGTAAGTTGATTAGTAATTTTACACTTCTAAAACTTTATGCGAATTATTCTGATAATAATGGAATAATTTTCTAGAAATAATTTTAGAATTTTTTTCTGGATATTTAATCAGTTCAGTTCATTTTTATTTATGATAATGACATATTAGCACAAAAGATAGTCGCTATATATTCAACACTTGTGAACTTATCTCAGCATCCTATATATGACAATTGTGTTGTAGTTTGCTTCTTTTTTTCACCGAAAATGAAAAGTAGTGCCTAGGTTTGAAGTATATGCTATATACCAATTATCTCTCTGATCATTCATTCTTTTTTCGCTTTTTAGATATACATCTTATGTGGTTGTTGTTTTATTTTCTTAAGCACTTCATCTCTTAATATCAATGATGCACCACATCTGTGTTTCAAATAATGGTAATAGTAAATTATCATTGTTTGAGTTAATGGCTGAAATTCAAGAAGTAATAAGTAAAGAAGGGTCTTATCAAGGCCTCATTTTCAATACTTTCGGAAATCAAGTTCAAAATCTTGAACTTTAATCCTAGGTGAACAAACGTAGGTTTACTGAGTAGGTGGTTATACAATGAGCTAGTATTTAGATCCTCAGTCATCTCCTTTTTCATCGACTATTTGTGTTCAAACGCTCTACGAGTTGCTACTATAAAATATTGAGATTTTTGAATTTGAAGTTTTATATTACAGACTGACTATGTTAGACCGTCATTGAATACCATGAAGCATTAGAGAGCTGTTTCGTCTTAGTATGTAACTCCTCAGTAGTGCACATCCACAAACTAGCGCGGAATCTGTTGTGTCCCATGATCCATCAAATATCACGTGACAAAATTGCCACTCAAAATACCAGCCTCCATGGCCTTTTCTATATGATAAACCAATCACACGTCAACCAGCACTAGCCGCCTTAAGTCAACTCGCTTAGCCCTGCCCATTGAGTCCAGAACACAATATCCACCCCCCACTGTATGAATCGTATAGTTTAGACATACGTGGTTTATATACAACCAGACTAGACCGCATCACACCATGAAATGAAAAGTATTATTTATGCAAGATTCAGGCTAAAAGTGGTTGTGTGAGAGACTGTAACTAATAGATTGGGAATAACTTAAGAACGGTAAATCGTAAAACAGTAGTTAATAGGTCAAATGAAGGCTTATGGTAAAGGGAATAAGAATATATGTAATAATGGTCCATAAACAACTCATAGAAGTTAAGATTCTTTTATTCTTCGTTCGAATATGACAAGATCGTACCCAAGACCTTGAATTTTTGCGATGAGCAGTTAACCTGTGTATCATTGAAGTGGCGTACAGTAACGTACGTTGCTTACCTCAGTCAATTTACGAAATCGCTCTATCATCATCCTATATTCTAAGCAGATAACTACCTCATTCCCGAAATAGTTGGATTTCAATGGTTACGACATCTCATAGGAACTTCGGGAAATATCACTCGAAGTTATTCGCTAGTAAACTTACCAGTAATTTAATTACTTGAAGGGAAACTGTTATACCGGAAAAGCGTTGAAATTGCATTATGATCAACAGTTTTAATGATGGGGCTTTGATGATATGGAATGAAATTCTTATCTAATTATAAAAATCTAATTCATAGTTTCTTTTTAGTCTCGATATTCTGGTAACATACTAATGATTTACTGTTTAATATATTCATAATAGTATCTTGTAAATTATTAGTGACTACTATCTTATCAGATAGTTATTTTTTTAAAATTTTCAGAATTTCTAACTACCTTCATGGTGAGATGATAATTTATAAACGACCTTTAGGTGGCCCTGAAAAGCTCCAACCGCTTAATAGGGTTAAAATAGGGTTATGAGATTAGAGTAGGAGTTTTTACCAGGAAGTTACATCAGCTTTAATGTAAAAGTGCTATTTAACCAGATATGTAAACGGATTTCGTGCAAACATCCAATAGCCTCTCCGTTAAATCTGATAGGTTCGTTCAATATTCTTTCAAATGTTCTCGTTTTTATTCTCAATTTAAAGCTCCGATGATGATGATGATGATGATGACTCGACGGAACCAGAAAGAGAAGGGGATGTTACTCATAAAAAATACCATACAAAACAGCGTGCCAATCGTAGCCGTCGTCATAATGACTGTGACGATGATGACGGAGAAGATGAAGATCCTTTGTTGGAATTAAATTCAAGCAATTTACTTATTGAAGAAAACAATAATAGCAGTGGTAAAAGTATTAATACAAGTTGTAATGAAAACAGTAATCCACTGGAATCTCCCACTGGATCAATTTACAAGTCATCCAGTCGTTTATCTCGTAATTTATGCTTAAGACCACGTGCAAATAACTGTTTAAATGATGAAAATTCTGTCAATTCAACACCAAATCCACGTACACCACCGTCTGTAGTTAGACGAAAAAAATTTATATACAATGCTGCATTAAAGCAAGCTGCTCGTGGTTATCTTAAAAGACATGAAAAATTCTCTGAACTTCTGGGTAGAACACGACGTCCAGATTATTATAAACCAATAAAGGTATGTATTATAAAAATATTATTATTAGCAAATCATAAAATATATCCAGTGTTATGTTGACCAATTAAAGTGACGCACAAAATCATCAGAACTGCAATCCCATAAAATGTTATTTATTCCGATTGAAAGTTAATGTATAGGTTATCAAAACCAGTTAACTAATTTATAGATCGACATCCTTCCAAAAATGACAGCTCCTATTGTAAAATCAACTGAAAAATAATAAATCCCAAGATATTTCAAAGGAACAAACATTGTATAATTAGTATGAAAACGAAAAAAATAACACGAAATATGTCAATAACTTATAAGTTGGAATACAACATTGATCAATAAGAATCTCACTGACTCTCATAAACTTCCTAGGTCATTTTATTCAGTTATAGCGTAACTCAAATACATTTCTCCATGTGGTATCAATATTTCATGGAGATAGTTGTTAATGCTTAGCGTTTTTTTCTGATTAAGAGCATTTTCTTCATGGCCGGAGTATAACAGAAACCCCCCCCCTTAAAGTTAGTCGTTGTTGTCCAACCTGCGTCCAATGTGTTTCACTGATCTGGCTCTTCTATCGCACACGCAACAACAAATGCAGGAGACGACCAGTGTAACAGCAGCCTCAGCAGCAGTAGGTCTCAACATACACAAAGGGAAAAGCAAGATTTTCCGATACAACACAACATGCACCAGTCAAATCACAGTTGATGGAGAAGCTTTGGAAGATGTAAAAACCTTTACATATTTGGGCAGCATCATTGATGAACACGGCGGATCTGATGCAGATGTGAAGGCACGGATCGGCAAAGCATGAGCAACATATCTACAAGTGAAGAACATTTGGAACTCAAAAAACTGTCAACTAACACCAAAATCAGAATTTTCAATACAAATGTCAAAACAGTTTTATTGTATGGTTCGGAGACTTGGAGAACTACGTAAGTCATCATCCAGAAGATACAAGTGTTTATTAACAGCTGTCTACGCAAAATACTTCGGATCCGTTAGCCAGACACTATCAGCAACAACCTACTGTGGGAGAGAATAAACCAGATCCAAGCGGAGGGAGAAATCAGGAAGAAGCGCTGGAAGTGGATAGGACACACATTGAGGAAAGCACCGAACTGCGTCACAAGACAAGCCCTCACTTGGAATCCTCAAGGTCGAAGGAGGAGAGGAAGACCAAAGAACACATTACACCGAGAAATGGAGACAGACATGAGAAGAGTGAACAACAATTGAATAGAACTAGAAAGGAAGGCCCAGGACAGAGTGGGATGGAGAATGCTGGTCGGCAGCCTATACTTCATTGGTAGTAACAGGTGTTAGTAAGTATTTGTAAAGAACAAGGGAATAACAATGGAACAGAAAATATTACATCCATTAAATTAAACCAAAACATTCGGCAATCAGTATATATTCAACGTTAATTTCGGTATCAAGATAATTATTTCGTGTTTTTTGTGCATAGTTTCATTCAATGTGTTTATTGTCAACTGAATTCAATATCAATTGTTATTTCCAAATGGCATATAATTATATGTATATTTGACTGTTACTCTTCGTTTTATGATTGCTTCTTATGTAGGTAAATTGGCCACTTGGCTCTGTTCGAGTTTATCGTCTTACAGATTCAAGTGAAGCTCCTCGTTGTGAATGTAAACCAAATTCAGAAGACCCTTGTGGACCATCTAGTAACTGTATTAATCGTGAATTGCACTATGAATGTTTGCCTAGTATATGCCCAAATGGTGATGCTTGTCGTAATCAACGTTTCACAAAACGTCTTTATCCCCCTCAACGACCCTTCTGGACTGGTGATCAACGAGGTTGGGGATTAAAAACTATGATAGCGATTCGTGCCGTATGTATTTTGTTCTATTTTTATCAGTTTAGATTTATTGTTTTTAAACTTTTAGCTTTCATCATGTTTATAGCCTAAATGTTCTATTACGTAACTTTTGAAGCGGCAGCCTAGTAATCAAATTGTTCGACTTCCAGCCAGTAAGTCACAGGTTTAAAATTCGCTACGTCTACTTCGGTTTGATGCACCGGATATGACTCTATACCATCTCAATTTATTTGAACACATAAATACTGGTACAAAGGGGCACCAGATACATATGCGCCACACAAATCTCATTTGATTTGTATGAGGGCTGTGATATTGCCCGGGTGCCCAAACCGAAGCAGGTGGTTTTCTTAGGGAGCCACACCCGAAGCCTTCGACCTGAAGATCTGTTCCACAAGGCAGTGGAGCATCGTAAGGAGGTGCAGTCCCATGGTAGCCGGTGACCAACGATTGGTTCATACGCCATTTGTTCCCTTCAGATCCTGGAGCCTATGTGCACCATTGATTTGGAATCAGGGTTTTCCAACTCCCCTAGGTGGACTCTCCGTTTCCACCAACCCGGTTAAAAAGCGCCAGACATTCGCTTTTCGTCCTCTCAATTTCGTGGACAACACCCCCTCCATGAGAAGACAATGAGTAAGACTTCCCTGGCAGTCTATATACGCGTGTCCATCTGAGAGCAGGGCATTTGGGGGCCACCAAGTACCTTATCAGTGGGCTAATAAAGAAACCGAAAATTTTTTTTATCAAATGTTAATAATTAGGAAATATTGAGTAATAGACTATGATATCTTTCCCTCTAAATCAATATTATAAAACAAACTTTTTCAATTATGTTTAAATTTGCAGTGATTATTTTTTTGGGACATAGTACCTTGTGTTTTAGTGTATGTCATTTAGAAATTAAAATCATGTAAATATTACATAAAGTGCATACGGAAATCTATGAATGTTATTCTGTGGGAAGGTGAATATATACTTTAAATAGCCGATTCCTGTTCATCACATGTAATTCTTATCAATATCATGCTATTAAATATACCTTATCATGCACGTATAGAGTTCTTTAATACACGATTTTTGTGTATTAGTTTTGTATAGGTTACCATAGAGACTGTTTGAACATAGATAAAAAAAGAGACAAATTGTCTTACATTTACAGCTTCACGAAAAGACTGCAATAAATTCAGTACTCGAAGACATTACTTCAATCAATTAAGAATGAAACTATTTTTGCAGATAAAGAATCAAACAATAATATAAATAGTAAAAATCGTGATCAGACTCCAGTAAGAGCATCAAATAGATATTAATACAACAGGCTTAAAGCAGTACCTTGGGGAGGGGGTTATAAAGTAAGTAAGACGTGTTGGTTTGTGCATCTATGATTCAATCATGAATTGAATGCTAAAACACTGAAAGTATCTACTTGAATTGCGAATATTCTCCATCAAATCAAATTTCTCTGCTTTTCGGCTAAAATATTTTAATTTTATTCTAGGGTGAATTTGTCAATGAGTATATTGGTGATTTAATTGATGAAGATGAAGCCAATCGGCGTTTAAGATTTGCTCATGAAAATAATATTACTAATTATTATATGATGAAATTAGATAGTCAACGTATTATTGATGCCGGACCGAAAGGTAATTTAAGCCGTTTTATGAATCATTCATGTGATCCAAATCTGAATACACAAAAATGGACTGTTAATGGAGATAATAGAATTGGTTTATTTGCTGTCAGGTGAGTTGTTGCTTCGTTTATTCTTCACTAGTTCCTCTTCCATTGTTTGTAATATTTTCACTCGTTAATTTTATTTCCATGTCTCAGTATCTATGTGTCAGCTGAGTTAGCTATACTAGGTGTACACAGTTATCATTCTGTTTAATATGAACAAATACAGCTTAGCACATTTCCAAACTTCATCTTCTTACAACAAGGAATCTTCGTTCTTACTAGTTAATTTTGAAATCATAAACGAGCAGTGCTGTTGTGTAATGTCATCACAAGAATTGATTAATTCTCTCATTAATATCATTATGATAGTCACTATTACTATTATTGGTGATTGAGGTTGTAATAATATATAAACGTATCATTTTTCACAAAAATCGTGATTGAAGTTCCGAGAAAAATACTTGATTCTCAACTAGACTTGAACCATTCTATATTTTGTAACGAAATGTATCTACATATATATACTCTGAAAGTGAATGTCAGTAGCAAAATTCTTCGGAACTTGAAAAATTCAGAACTCTTAAAGATTCCTAGACATATTTAATATAATTGAATAGACGATAAGATTTCACCATATGTTTTCCATTACGTCATCAATAGTATTATTTCGCGTAAAGTAGAAAATCATTAGAAGGAAAAATAGAATGTTAATACCTGTGTTGTTTTGCTTCCTTTATTTCCTACGATTTACTTTAGAGATATATCTGCTGGTGAAGAGTTAACATTCAACTATAATTTTGTTGCATTGGGTCAAGAACGTTTGAATTGTCGATGTGGTGCGTCAAATTGTGTTGGTTTTCTTGGTGCACGTTCAGAATCATCGAATAGTAATAATGGTAGTGGACAAGTTGGCGGTAACTCATCTTCTAATTATGGTGAATCAAATAATCCATCAAATGCTCTAACTAACACAGATATTAGCCGTGGATCATCTAAACGTCATACCGTTCAAACAAATCCACGCTCCAATGATATTGATAAGTGTCATATGAAAGATGGACGTGATATATGTTCTAGTAAAGTTTCTAATCATAATCTATTTACTACTTCACTGATGAACAATAACAAAAACGCTTCGAACAATGTGAATAACCCCTTGAATATGAATAGACGTCACGAAACTAAATGTTTCCGGTCGGTAGTGCATATGGGGATATTTTTCTCATTCTAAGTAATAATACTTCATATTTGATTTGTTTAAAACTTTTCCTGTTTGTGAAATTCTAGTTTGGATTCTCAGGATAACTGATTCCTATTAAATAAATCCGAAACTACCCTACTTATTGTCATAATGATATTACCACTGAACTCTATGGGTCTCAACCGATCTCTTGTATAAATCTTTACCGAGTAGTAACCGCTGTCATATTATTTAGTGTTCGTTGATTCCTTCCGATCATCCAACACCAAACATACACAAACTTAATTATTTGACTTAGTGGCCACATTTCGGCCTTATCAATAGAATTTTATCAGTTATAGGAACTAGTCAACATGATTACACTTGATTCTCGATTATTATTTACTACAATTCACTAAATCCATAATGCAACCATTAAAGCAAAAAAATAATGATTTTACCTTGAATGCTGCGTTTTTCGTTGTTTAAAACTAAAACACTGATCAGTGCGATCCACTTATCTTGGCACAAATGAAAACCATACATGTCCCAAAATAGCTGAAATAACAATTTACTAAGAAAAAAATTTTTACGAAAGAAATTTCTAATACTTTCTTCACCCATCCACCAGCGCTGATTAGTTAAAATCTATCTATCAGTATTTTTGGTCTTGCAGTGAGCATGCAATTGTTTTCAGTAATTTTGGAATATTTTAGTCTCCAGAAGCGTCATTTAGACTAAATAACAATATTCTAACGATTGCAATTAAATTAGAAACTGTTAGTTGAGTGAAACTCTGCATCCCATTTACTCTTATGGTAGTAGTGATTTTTGATTTCATAGAAATTATACTTTAGTGAATGGTCACTGTTTTTGCGTAAATCATGAACAGTCTAGTTCCAAAACAATTCAGTGTTTGATATATAAATTGAAGGCTTATCATCTTTAATCAAAACATTTCGTAAACAGTCATTTATGATTTACTGTTTCATATTCTGTTCTAAGTCAAAATCCTTAACTTTATACAACTCACTGGTAAACTTTCATGAAATATTATCAATATGTATGGATATTATTTTATGATTAAAAGTAATAATTATTTCCAGGAATATTTTATTAATATCAAGATATTTTCCATTCATCTACCTATTTGTCTAATCGTTGACTAAAAATGGTTTCCAATGCTATTTCACAGGTGTGGTGAAGAAGACGCTCCTATTGGAAAGCGATCACTATCATTATTCAGTGAAACATTGAGTCTAACGAATTCTTCATATACTAATACTACTATTGTACCATCATGCTCATTGTCATCGAATAAATCTCTAAGTAAACGTGGACTAAAACGAGAACTAGAAGATTTAGTTGCATCAGTGAATCATTCACCAAACAAAAGTCAACATGGACTCAGTTCGCCTACATTACTCAGTCGAAATGAAACACAATCATCGATTTTTATTAGTACTACTAATGCTACGACCACTGAAGATCAAACATCGTACAAGTCATCTGATCTTATTTTATGCAGTAAACACGATTGTTCTAAAGCTTATCATTTATTCTGTCTGGATTTAGATACACCACCTCAAGGTAGGATTAATGTTATTCCCACTTTTTTACAACAAATATTGTATTGGATCTCTAATTTGCATATTTATTCCAATTATAGGTCAGTGGTTTTGTCCCTGGCATCATTGTGATGCATGTGGTCGTCCTTCTCATATTTTCTGTTCCATATGTCCATCTTCATTTTGTCTGGCCCATGTTGAAGGTAGTATTGTTGTTCTGCCTCCAGTTCTACCAAAACGCAACCGTAAACCACCTAACAATCGATCTGAAAATAATGTTATTGACCCTATAGAAAATAGAAAACTCCACTCTCTTCTTGCTCGAGTAAATTTGTTTCTTTAACAGGGTTTTTAATGTTTTATAACCTTAAAATTTAATTTATTCGGGACTTGAAATGCTGATTGCCTGCACCAAGATTATTATTATTATTATTATTATTATATTTCTGTCTTCATATCTGCTAATCGCAGAAAACAAGTACTGTCTTTTGAAATTAATAAAATAATAGTCCCATTTAGACGTAGTGTGGTGCATGCTACTTATACTGATGGATATAAGTAGTATGTAGCAGCGGTCGGAAGTAGAATGCATGCCAGCAGAAGAGTGAATTAAAGAGAACAGAAAGGGAAACAGAGAGTAATTGTAATAACAACAGAATTCGAAAGAATCATGAAGTATGTAAAAGACAACTGATGAATGATGTGCAAATAATGTATTTAATGTATGGTTTTCATAGTTTTCGAACGTACTCTGTAATTTTGCATAAAACAGTAAATTGGTTCTCCCACTTGAGTTATCGTTTACTATAGTAGCACTTCGCATGTCCCACCTCTCAATATAAATGGCTGATACCCTCTAAATGGAGACACGTTTTCTGAACCTTCATCGTATGAAGTGTAAGAATCTCCACCTCCTATATCTAGGGTAAAGTCAAGGGGTAAATTATTTTTGAAAGTAATCTTTTCCCATCAGAATAAACTAGTTTCATGAGGTCAATAAAATTAGATGCCTCGTTTCGTCAGACTTTTCTGAAGAAATTTTTTGCATGACAACGGCCAGATTTACACATATTTTTAATAGGATCTTTTTAAATTATTACAAGTGGTGTAGTGAAATGGACAGTTATTTGACAAATATAACTCACCATTGGGTCAGCAGTTCTTCGTTTGTTGACTTCATCATTATGAAAGAAACTTACTCAGGAATTAAAATTATTGATCACAGCCATACTATTTGTAGAACGTTGAATTGTAGTAACAAACAGTCCGGGGTATAAATTGCTTACCATCTGGTATAAGTGTTTTCATGTGAAATTTTTCTAGAACAGTAATAAGAAATTTATTAAATATTATCAAGATAAACTTGTAAGTCTCTTCATTGGTACACAACAACAATGACTAAGATGTCGTAAGAAACATGAAACACGATATGTTCAACTACTTACCAATCTTTTTCACTACTGTGTTTATCTCCGATTCTTTGAAAATTAATAGTTTTCCCTCTTCTTACAATATATATAGCATTTGAAAAATTAAAACACATAAGCGAAGATTTTCTTTTCGACTATATCATGCACTAGAACTGTATATGATAATTACGCGATCGTATCTTTTTTCACTTTATTTCAATTACTCCAGATCGTTTGTATGTTTCACCATGACTTGATAAACAATGTTCACGATCGACCTGTTGTAAAGAAAAAGAAGCTTAATCCATTAGTGTCATCGACATCACATAAATCTGATAAGTGTGACAATAATGTTTGTTCTGAAATACCACAAGATTATTTGGATGGTAGTAATAGTAGTCACTCTTCAGGATTGATGATGACGAGACGTCAAAGCCTTTTGCGTCAGTCAACAATGTCCCAAGCTAAATATTGCAATGATATTAGTACGCCCAATAACAACGATAGTAATAATCCGACCAGTTCTTGCGGTTTAGAAACAACAAAACAAAATGACTGTCTTTCAAATTGTGTAAGCACAACACCAAATCGAACTATTGAAACCAACTAAAGGTTGGTAGATTGATTTCATTTTAATGTCTTTTTGTATGTGTATAATTGTATTACTTATTTTCTTAATACAAATAATAAAAGTTGTTGTTTATAATTTTCTGATTTGAAAAGCATATTGTGATGGTCGAAATTAAAATCAGACTCAACATAATTCAATGATGGAAACTTGTTTGTTTTATTCTAGGATTTAATGCCGATTGGATGGTTTGTTCATTGTATTTTTAACCATCTACAAGGTTATTAACTTCACAGATCTATTGAATTTATCAACAGGTTTCGATTCACAGATGCGAATATTGTCCAATTAACAGATAATACTTTGTTTTCATTTTTATCCAAGCTAAGATATTGTCTTTGAGTAAGAATAGCTATTTTCACCTACATTGATTATAAATTAATGTCTGTTGTATATTCAAAAGTGCTCGTCTTCCTGACTTTAAAACAATACAGTAACTGATAAAAACTCTATGTTAAATCTGATTCTTTTGAAAATATAATGGTCCTTTTTGCAGCGTTCAACTGAATGGATAGAAATGATCAAGTTGTTTAGGCTATCGTTTTAAGATTCACCATCTTCGTTAACATTTATTTAACCTTTCAAAGTTATTGTAGAGGATTATTAAGATTGCAGGAAAACGAGGTTTTTTTGTTCAGGATTCAAAATATCATTTCAAATCTTTATGTTATATGCCTTTAATATCTAACACACATTTAATATGTGTATATCGTTTCACTGGACGACCGTTCAGTGCTTCCAGGTTTTCCATGGTGGTCTAGCTTTAATTGACTCATGAACTGAACTATTAAATTACTACAATCTCCACAAAACCCTTCCTGATTAAAATCTATAAAGCAATAACTATTGTTAATACTCTAAATACTATATTGCACATTGTAAACAGGAAGAGTATATGTTATGATAAATAAGTAAGAAAGAAGATAGTGAAGATCAAAAACGCATATCATCTTTTTACAAATCTACTCATTGTTAATGAAACAGCAATTAAAATAAAGATATTAAAACAAAAATATTACATTAAGAATAAACTACCCATTTACATCTACAAAAGTTCAATATTAGACATGTCAATAGTGATTACATAATATGAGATTATTTTATTTGTACAAAAATGCAAACCATAAATAAATAAAATGTAAAGAATAAGAGACAAAATATGAATAGTAAACTGAATAAATGAACAACCCACTAATAATATTTATTATTTATCTTTCTATCTCTAAATAAAGAAATGCTGCATTAGAAGATCGCTGTTTTATAATTCTTTTTTGTTAGGAGCCTGTAGAAGAGGACAAAGAAGGGTTGAGTATGAGAGAGAAGGATAAGATAGGAATGTTTCAATTCATTGCTGACTTAATGTGACTAGGTTTACAACAATCAACATAAACTGTAGGGTGATGTTTTTTCTACCAAGAAGTTATTGATATCTTTAAAAAAATGGAGGAAATTAGTGGTCTGCTGAAGAAAGACGTTGGCATAATTAACTTGAGGCGATCTACGTTTAGATAATTGCAGAGATAAGCAAATGAACAGTAACAGAACAATGACCTCAAGGTAGACATAAACAATTCAGGGGGCAACATCTTCTTTTGAATCTTTTTTGTTGACCTGTAATAAATGAATAAGCATAAAAGACATGTTTTTAAATTGGCAATAACGTTGAAAATATGAATTAAAGCTGATAAAAATCGTCACTGTCAAATCCGAACGAATCAAAACTCAGACCCCATATGAATTCAGAATATTGATTGTTGGGTTAGTGGTTCGAAGCTATGCTAGGGGATGGGAATCAACAGTGGGAGCCTTGAAACGATGACCAGATTTATCTATGCTAATGGTAAAAGTCATACAGAATAGAACGGTTGACTCTGAGTTTTACCAGACTTCAAAGTACGATTTGAAGTAGTAATATCAAAGTCAACTGTTATCAAAGTATGAATAAATTCATTCTTATTAGAGTTTACATTAAATTCGTTCAATAAAACAGTATCTTTAAAAAATTATGAAAGAGCAGAAAGATAGAATAGGTCTAAAAAATGTGATTTGTATGCTTCATATGATTCAAACACTGATTACACATTTACTTCCCAAGGTATTTCTTCTGAAAGGTCAAATAGATAGTGATAATTGACAATTAATGGGAGATAAGGTACAGCATAAAAATAATTAAAAGACGTTACACTATTCGTGGCATTAATATGTTACGGACCATCAACGTAAGTTTAAAATGAAAACAAAATTTTTTTGAACGCATAAGTAAATTTTCTTAATACTCAAAATCTTCACAAAGTTAAGAACCTATACCAGTAGAACAGGTTTTTAACTTCTATGTGGAAGGTAAAGATTTAAAAGTCTATCCTAATTTGAACGTTACGAGACGTGTTCCAGTTATAAACCGTAATATGAAGAGACGTGTCTGTCTAGTTTTTGTGCTCACTTGAGAATCACACCATCCCAGTAAATGTCCAACCACCCTCAAGTACATACCTCGGATACCCCTCTATATTCGTGTACACACCTATGCACATATGTGAACGAAGTGGAATGTGTTTCGTAATTGTCCACACGATGTTTGAAATTGTATAAAATTATAGGTTCTCCCTTTGCAATGACGATCAGCTGGGGAACATAATGCCTCCACAATGATTTTTCTGTCTACGCTTGAAAATTATGGTGGTTCACTTTTTCATGATGTGATAAAAACCCTACTCAGCTTAGCAAGATATAGTTCTGTATACTATTGGGTCTATTTAACAAAGCTACATCAAACTGTGAATTACGTATAGCAAATATATTTTTTGCATATCTCTTATACAGGGTAGCCTTGCCGATGAGCTTCATAGTCTGTTTTCCAACATATGACAAATACCAGCTAAAAGTAATCCTAAATGACAATCTTTTTGAGTAGTTAACCCCCCTTATTTTTTAAATAAATCGCCCTGAAAAATTAATAGAAATAAATTTGTTTGAAATTTATACACATATATATCACATTTTGTTCTAAGAATTCGGTCAATGTTTTCATAAAAATAGTTATCAACATTAGAAATATAGGTAGGTCAGAAGGGAAAATGATTTGGGAATAATCAAACCACTAAAAAGACGTTTTCAAAGGGCAAAGAAAGATCAGATACCTCTGACCTTCCACTACTTCAATTGAATAATCTAATATGGTAAAACTCCGCCTGGAGTCCCTTTCGGGGGGCTACTGCCGGTCCCAAGCCCGGGTAAAGGAGGAAGGTTGGGCATGTGGGTTAGCGTCCCCATCCCGTAGAAAAGTCAGTCAGTCAGTAACAACGTGGAACTTCGTACGTACGTACATCAGTTCGAGTTGCCATACCACATTAGCACAAAGATTCAGTTATCGATTCAAATCCCATAGTGGTAGAGGTACTGAAAGTATAAGTAGAGATAGGGTACAGTTCAGATTCTGTCCACACATTAATCTCAAAAGTCCTAAATATTCCGACAATTTCAATGCAATATTAAAACCTAATTACCACTTTTAAATCTTTGATGTAGCATAAACACTAAATTTATCTATTGGAAGTTCGATCAGAAAAGTGCTTATGTAAAATACTAGTTGGTCTCTTTTCTGGGAGTATATATGATATCAGTCCGTCAGTCAGTAACAACGTGGAACTTCGTACGTACGTACATCAGTTCGAGTTGCCATACCACATTAGCACAGAGATTCAGTTATCGATTGAAATCCCATAGTGGTAGAGGTACTGAAGGTATAAGTAGAGATAGGGGACATTAATGTTTGATGATGTTATTAAAGGAGTATAGTCCAGTGGAATAATTTGGGAAAGAAAATAAAGGACATGAAGAATTCAGAAGATTAGAGTTTGAGAGAACACAAAGAGTGGATGCACCTGCACCATTGCAAACGATTTTGAGCCATGTCATTCAAGGTCTCCAACCATCGGTTGCTATCGTCTCGCGGTCCCCAACCAGGTAGTCTACACCTACCAACATGACTCAGTCCACTTGTCAGTGACTTCATGGATTTCTGCCATGTTTTGGTCTGGCCGCCCCTATCTTTCTTCCAACCTACTCCTACACCATAAAACATAGCACGTCGGGGCAGTCGGTGGTCGGGCATGCGCAACACATGTCCCAGCCATCTCAACTGATTAGGTTTCACTACTTCGTCAATTGATTTGCCATCCTTACCTAGTACCCGTTTCATAACAACTGCATTACTTACTCGGTCGTCCCAGGATATACGAGCGATGTTTCGAAGACACCTATGGTCAAATACTAGTAACTTACGAATATCTTCTACTCTTAAAGGCCAAGTTTTGCAGCCGTATTGTAGAACGGAACGAACTGACGCGCAGTATACTCGTCCCTTAATTGATAGACGGATATCTCGCCTTCGCCATAGATGACGTAAGTTGGCAAAAGCTAGTCGAGCCTTTTGTATCCGTGCTGAGATTTCGTCACACACCAAACCACAAGGGCTGATGAGACTTCCGAGATAAGTGAAGCGGTCGACACGCCCAACTACTTCACTCTTTATCACTAGTTCGGGTGTTGACGCAACCCAATCCTGAAGCAACATTTTGCATTTCGAGGTAGAAAATCGCATGCCGAACATGCTTGCATTGTTGCTTAGAGTGGTCAGCAGACTCTGCATTCTGTTAGCGTCTTCACTAAATAGAACTATGTCATCGGCATATTCTAAGTCAACAAGTGGATCTCCCGGTAGAAGTTCAACTCCTGGAAATTTAGATGAGGAAAGTGTCATCTCTAAAAGGACGTCAACGACAAAGTTAAACAAGAATGGAGAGAGTGGACAGCCTTGACGAACACCACTTGAGGTAATCAATTCTGATGACAGTTCACCATAAGCTCTCACTCTACCAGTTGTGTTCGAGTAGAGAGCCTTTATAAGGTTGATGTACTTCTTTGGTACTCCCTTCAGTGACAAACACTGCCATAGAACCTCACGATCAACAGAGTCAAATGCCGCCTTAAGGTCGAGAAATACTACCATTGTGGGGCGTCTGAATGTGTGTCTATGTTCTAGGACCTGACGTAGTGTGAATATCTGATCTATACAACCACGTCCAGGTCGAAAACCAGCCTGGTTTTCTCTAGTCTGCTCTTCACGAGCTTTGGTTAGACGTCGAAGTATTATTGAAGCTAATATTTTAGACACTATATTAGTCAAACTAATTCCTCTGTGATTGTCACAGGAGGACTTTTGTCCTTTCTTATAGACTGGTACAATCAGTGATTGAGACCAGTCAGATGGGATTACGTTCAGTTCCCAGATTCTACCTAAGACCTGAGTCAATCTCGCTGCTAATACTGGTCCGCCATCCTTAAAAATCTCAGGGGTAAACCTGTCAGGGCCTGCTGCTCTCCCACGCTTCAGATTTCCTATAGCTTTCTCAACTTCGTAAAGAGTCGGAGGACTTACATCAACTTGCCATTCAGGTCGACTGGAGATCGTGGAAAACCGAAGTGTGGCTGAAGGCCAGTTGAACTGATCCCTAAAGTATTCTGCCCATCGATCCAATCTCCTGGATTGAGAATGAATAATATATCCATCTTTCTCTGAGATTGTTTCGCTAACAGTTGGGTTCCTAATACCGGTTTCCTTAACAAGTCTGAACAGTTGCCTGCTGTTACCTATTGCCGCTGCCTTTTCCATCTCTCCTGCTTTCGCTACCCACCACTGTTCACGATCATTGCGTAGGCTTCTAGTCAGCTTACGCTTAAGCTGACTCCGCTCTTCGTTATGTTCAAAGACAGATGGAATGAGTTTTCGAGCATCTATCAGTGCGGTAGATGCTGCTGAGATCCAGTGTTTCTCCCTAACCTTATGGTTTACCGTACTTGCAGACATCACTGCTGTTCCGTAGAAAACTAACTCGCTAAAAAAACGCTAACCAGAAAAAATAACTCAAACCATTTAAACTCTGCCCTGGGAGTTAGAGGTAATATGACGCTTCATGGTGAAAGCCGAGTTCCTTCGGAAGCCATGAGGCCGATGCCCCTTCTAACAACCAGAGCAACAATTTTTATAGGTACATGGAACGTCCGGACAATGTGGGAGACCGGGAAGACCAGTCAAATAGCAACGGAAATGAGGAGATACAACTTGACAGTACTGGGAATCAGTGAAACCCATTGGAACCAAGCTGGACAACAAAGGCTAAATACGGGAGAAATGCTGCTATACTCCGGTCACGAAGAGGAAAATGCTCCACACACTCAGGGAGTTGCTCTAATGCTATCCAAAGTAGCACGAAATGCACTTGTAGGATGGGAATCTCACGGATCCAGAATCATCAAAGCATCATTCGAAACAAAGAAGGAGGGGATCACAATAAACATTATCCAATGTTATGCACCCACAAATGATATCAACGACGACGTTAAAGATCAATTCTATGAGAGGCTGCAATCAATCATAGAGAAGTGCTCAAGAAAGGACCTCACCATTCTGATGGGAGATCTAAACGCCAAAGTCGGAATGGACAACACCGGATATGAAGACATCATGGGACTACATGGACTGGGGGAGAGAAACGAAAACGGGGAAAGATTTGCAAATCTGTGTGCATTCAATAAATTGGTCATAGGCGGTACAACATTTCCACACAAACGTATACACAAAGCAACATGGATCTCACCGGACCACACCACAGAGAACCAGATAGATCATATTTGCATCTATAAAAAGTTCCGAAGGACAATGGAAGATGTGAGGACAAGGAGAGGGACGGACATAGCTTCAGATCACCACCTGGTTGTGGTCAAATTGAAACTGAAGCTAAAGAAGAACTGGACAAACAGCACCACAAAGGTTCAATACAGCCTTCCTTTGAGATACTGACAAACTCAATGAATTCAAGGTAGCTCTCAACAATAGGTTCCAAGCCTTACAGGATCTACTGAAAGAAGAAGAAACTACTATGGAGGATAGCTGGAAAGGCATCAAAGAAACATTAACTTCAACGTGTCAAGAGGTTCTGGGCCCCAAGCATATTCACAAAGAATGGATCTCTATAGAAACACTGTACAGGATTAAAGAAAGAAAGAACATGAAGACAGCAATTAATAACAGTCGAACAAGAGCAGAGAAAGTCCAAGCACAAGCTGAGTACATAGAAGCAAACAAGAAAGTGAAGAAGAGCATTAGAGCCGACAAGCAGAAATACGTGGAAGAACTAGCAACGACGGCGGAAATAGCTGCAAGAGAAGGAAATATGAGACAGCTTTACGATACGACGAAGAAGCTAGCAGGGAAATACAGTAAACCAGAGAGACCAGTCAAAGACAAAGAAGGAAGACCAAACACTGAGATTCAACAACAGCGGAACAGATGGGCAGAGTACTTCGAGGAACTCCTGAATAGGCCGGCTCCAATGAATCCACCGGACATCGAAGCAGCACACACAGATCTTCCTATAGATGTCAATCCACCAACGACCGAAGAAATCAGAATGGCCATCAGACAAATCAAGAGCGGGAAAGCAACAGGACCTGACAATATACCAGCTGAAGCGTTGAAGTCAGACATCGAAGTAAATACGAGCATGCTTCATCTTCTATTCAAGAAGATTTGGGAGGAGGAACAAGTGCCCATGGATTGGAAAGAAGGACACCTCATCAAGATTCCAAAGAAAGATCTGAGCAAGTGTGAAAACTACAGAGGCATTACACTACTGTCAATACCAGGTAAAGTCTTCAACAGAGTGTTACTGAACAGGATGAAAGACGCAGTAGACGCTCAACTTCGAGATCAACAAGCTGGATTCCGTAAGGACCGGTCGTGCACAGACCGAATCGCGACACTACGGATCATCGTCGAACAATCAATTGAGTGGAACTCGTCACTCTACATCAACTTCATTGATTATGAGAAGGCATTTGACAGTGTAAATAGGAGAACGTTATGGAAACTCCTTCGACACTACGGAGTTCCTGAGAAGATTGTCAACATTATCCGGAACTCATACGATGGACTACAGTGCAAAGTAGTGCATGGACGACAGCTGACTGACGCATTCCAAGTAAGGACCGGAGTAAGACAAGGCTGTCTACTCTCTCCCTTCCTGTTTCTCCTGGTGGTCGACTGGATTATGAAGACCTCGACTTCTGAGGGAAACCACGGCATACGATGGACAGCTCAGAACCAATTAGAAGACTTGGACTTCGCAGATGACCTAGCCCTCCTATCACATACACACGAACAAATGCAGATAAAGACAGCCAGCATAGCAGCAGTCTCTGCATCAGTAGGCCTCAACATACACAAAGGGAAAACCAAGGTCCTCAAACACAACACGGAGAACAGCAATCCAATCACTCTTGATGGCGAAACTCTGGAAGACGTGGAATCCTTCACATACCTAGGAAGCATCGTCGATAAACAAGGAGGTTCAGATGCAGACGTCAAGGCGAGGATTGGCAAAGCTAGAGCGGCATTCCTTCAACTGAAGAACATATGGAACTCAAAACAACTTTCAACCAATATCAAAGTCAGAATCTTCAATACGAACGTCAAGGCAGTTCTACTGTACGGAGCTGAAACTTGGAGAACTACAACAACCACCATCAAGAAGGTACAGGTATTTATTAATAGCTGTCTACGCATGATACTCAACATCCATTGGCCGGATACCATCAGCAACAGCCTTTTGTGGGAGAGAACAAACCAGCTTCCAGCTGAAGAGGAAATTAGGAAAAGACGATGGAAATGGATAGGACATACATTGAGGAAATCATCAAACTGCATTACGAGACAAGCGCTAACTTGGAATCCTGAAGGGAAGCGGAAAAGAGGAAGGCCAAAGAACACATTACGTCGGGAAATAAAAGCAGATATGAAAAGGATAAGAACTGGAAAGAACTTGAAAGGATTGCCCAGGACAGGGTTGGATGGAGAATGCTGGTGAGCGGCCTATGCTCCTTCACGAGGAGTAACAGGCGTAAGTAAGTAATATGGTAAAACCTATAAAGAACAAATGATGCTACTTATATGATCCACCGTGATAGCAATAAGTCACTATCGAGTAAGAATCACCAATAATTTTAAACACTAATGAAGCCAATTACTTTAAAGCATGTGTTGAACTATAAGAAATAATTATTGGTTTTTGATTTGATAAACTACTAACAATCATAGTATATTGTACGCGCATTAATTATGTTTATGGAAGTTTCCATATTAAAAGGTTTTCAGGCAAATCATTTTGAAAGGGCCCCTTACTGACAGTAATTTATTAAAGAGACTGATGGGAGTGTTTACATTTAGCTGGAAGGTGTTTAATTATACTTACCATTTATCCTCGCCAATGACATCGTTTTATGTTGAATTAAATGCATTGTAATGGTTTCAGAGGGTAGTTTCAATTCTGAAAATGAATTACACATAGATACATGCTGAATACTTAAAAACAGGTGAGTCCCATCTAGTGATTTCAACACACTTAATGGTTATGTAGCAATTCCACAGTCAAATCCATTTATTTCAGTCTACACAATAGGTATTTTTAGATTCTATATAAATGTAACTTATGACCTTATAATTGGTCTCTAAACAATATTGAAGTACTATCTCCGAAAACTAGGATATTTCAGAAAAGTCATCAGTTCAATGACAAATCTGCGCTGGATGATTTTACCAGTAAAATAATTCATTACGAATGTTAAATAGTTCATTACCGGGCAAAAAATACTCGGTAAGAAGTGCATGGTGTATAATTCTAGTAGATGCAACTACTTGTTCACAATCTGCATCTGAGAAATAAAAACTCAAGATGGGGTTGCATAAGTACTACCAATTCTACTTTTGTGACTGGTTTTTTGGAAATTTCAGTAATTTCTTATTGACAGCAAGAACAAAAACCGTCTAATTATCCTATCAGCATTGATACCAGAAAGTTAACGTCATATATTCTAAAATAGATCGAAAGTAAATAAGATTCCCTAGTTTAAGTTACGTATAGAGTATAAGTGAGTGCCTTTGTCCCAGGAAAATGGGGCTGCTGGAACTAGTAGCTGTAACACCATTGAACAGATGTCTAATTGGTTGTAATATAAACTATGATGATAAAGTGTAGTGAAGACGACTAGTTATGAACAAATAAGAGAGAGAGAGAGAGAGAGAGAGAAAAACCAAGTAAATGCATTGCTATATCAAAATAACGAGATGAATAGGAATAATAAGAGATAAAATGGGGTACGATATGTTACTTATATCGAAAAATGACCCCCCCGAATGCCCTAGTATGGCCGAGGGTGGGGTGGATTAGCCCTCCCTTTCGAAACGCTCTCACATGGCCACGCGTATACAGCCTCTGCCAGGGAAGTCCTACTCACTGCCTTCTCGTGGCGGGGGTGTTGTTTACGAAAATGAGAGGACGAAAAGCGAATGTCCGGCGCTTTAACCGGACCCCAAACCAATGGTGCACATGGGTACCAGTATCCTGCGGGAACAAATGGCGTATGAACCAATCGTTGGTCACCGGCTACCATGGGACTGCATCTCCTTACGATACTCCACTGCCTTGTGGGTCAGACGTTCAGGTCAAAGGCTCGGGGTGTGGCCCCCTAAGAAAACCACCTGCTTCGGTTTGGGCATACGGGCAGTATCTCAGCCCACACACAAAAACATGATGAACAGTCTACTAATGGGAAATATTCTTTTCGCCCCGATTAACAATCAAGTAACTCGCATTATTATTATTATTATTATTATTATTTACTACGTCATTTATTCACTCCCTTTTATTCCTACTCTATCTATCCTTATTTTTTGACTTATACAGCAGCTCGCCTATGGTGGAAATTCGGCTCTACCTAAACGTTCTTGAGTCACTGCCTGGTTGAAAATTGTATGTAACCATCGAATAAGAGTACTGAAGCAGTCTTTCTGAAACCACGCGCACCATTCAAACTGGCTGTTTTTAACGTTCGCACACTTATGCAGGTCGGACAACAGATAGGGCTGGCTATATCTTAATACCGATGTTTGTTGTCTATCCGAGACCCGTATTCAAGACTCTGGTGAAGTACTACAAATTCGCTCTCCATCTGTCACTTCAAAAAGCTTGTTTTACGTGCGTTTATCCGGGGACCCTGTGGCATCTTCGTCTGGTCTTGCTGGCGTTGGTGTCGCACTAAGCGCTAGAGCTGAGGCAACACTAATCGATCGGATCTCCATTAACAGTCGGTTGTGTGATGTTAGATTAGAAAGTTCCATCAAAGTGAGAAGAAATCAACGTGAGAAACAATGTCTTTTCGTCATCTTCGCCTATGCCCCGACAGATTGCAGCCCGGATGCAATCAAGGATGAGTTCTACCACCAGTTATCTGTTCTTCTCCAGAAAGTGCGTTCGACAGATATTGTAGTACTAGCCGGAGACTTGAATGATCAGGTCGGGCGTCTAGGCACAGAAGAGAGTCGTTTAGGTGGCCGATGGGGACTTGTTGGTCGCAGGACAGATAACGGGGAACGTCTACTGAAAATATGCACAGACCACAACCTGTTTCTGGTTAGCACTAACTTTCGCACAGTCATCGCCGATGTGCCACCTGACGTCCTCCTTCTGCATCTCAAGCCTGGACTCAGATTGATCACATCGCGATCAGCTACCGCTGGCGTGGTTGTGTACAAGACTGCCGCTCCTTTGGAGTACCTATCTGGACTATGATCATGCCCTGGTCTGCGCCAATCTTACCTTACTTTTCAGTGGACAACGAAGTGACCGCCACCAAAGGATTGATGTTAGCAAGCTGGCTGCAACTTCTGTTGCTAGTAAGTACCGAACCGAGCTAGCTTCTAGGCTAGCTACAATTCCACCGAAAAGTATAGATGAGCATTGGTTGCAATTGCATGACGCCATGAAAATGGCGAGTAAATTCACTTGTAAGTTCGCGAAACGTCTCGCTTACAAGCACTTGGTTTCTTCAGACTCCTTACAACTCATTGAAGCCCGTCGGTCTACTCTGGATGACCGTGAGTTTGACCACAAACGAAGGATGTTACGTAATGAAATTCGGCAAAGCTTGCCTAAGGACCGAGAAACCTGGCGATCGGAGCGTGCTAATGAGCTGGAAGCAGCAGCTGCATCTGGTAATCACCGGAAGCTCTTCCAACTCATCCGAGCCACTGACAGCAAGAAGTCTGGTGTGAGCGAAACAATCTGCGAGCATGGCAGAATGTCAATCACTAACATCCATCGACGTCTTGGACGATGGGAAGAATTTTTTGAAAGGCAGTTCAACTGGCCTGCTGCTACAGCAACATCGGTGAGACTGTCCAGTCCTCCATGGCCGGTGACGACTGATCCACCAAATGAGGCGGAAGTCTGCAAGGAACTCCAACTCTTGGAACGTTACAAATCACCGGGCCCAATGGACTTACCTCCGGCTCTTTTTAAAGATGGTGGTGACTTTCTGTTTATTTATTTTAACACATAAGTATAGGTACAGGGAGGCACCAAATACATATGCGCCACACAAATCTCAATTGATTTGTGTGAGGGATGTGATACTGCCCGGGTGCCCAAACCGAAGCAGGTGGTTTTCTTAGGGGGCCACACCCCGAGCCTTTGACCTGAACGTCTGACCCACAAGGCAGTGGAGCATCGTAAGGAGATGCAGTCCCATGGTAGCCGGTGACCAACGATTGGTTCATACGCCATTTGTTCCCGCAGGATACTGGTACCCATGTGCACCATTGGTTTGGGGTCCGGTTAAAGCGCCAGACATTCGCTTTCTGACTAAGGGACTGACGACGTTGCTTACAAAGATCTGGGAACTAGAGAGTGTAACAACGTCATGGAATGAGTTGATAGTTGTCCCTATCTTTAAAAAGGGTTCACGTCGTTCCTGTAACAACTATCGGGGGATAAGTCTACTTCCAATTGCGTCCAAGCTATTGGCTCCCGTTATACTTCGTAGGTTGTTCAAAACTCGAGGAGGATTGACTCGCGAGGAGCAGGCGGGGTTCCTTTCCGGTCGAGGATGTATTGATCATACCTTCACCCTCCGCCAAAAGTTAGAACACCGGCCATACCTATCAAGGGCCAACAATCGTAGTGTTTCTTGATATCAGGGCTGCCTTCGATTCGTTGGACTTAACTGTTCTCTGGGGTTGTCTATTGAAGAAGGGTGTGCCTGAGAAGTTTATTAACATCCTGAAAGCCCTATACACAAACACCTCAGGCAGAGTGAGGGCATACAACTACCTTTCTCCATTATTCCATTCAAGCAGTGGGGTTAGACAGGGTTGCCCAATCTCACCATTCCGCTTCAACTTTTTCATCGATGACATTCTGGAAACAGCTCTGATGGATGTAAGTAATGGTGGTGTGGATCTGTTGCCTGGAGAAAGACTTCTCGACCTTGAGTATGCGGATGATATTGTCTTACTGTGCGAGAATGCCCAAGCCATGCAATCCGCACTTAATCAGTTGGCAATCAGTGTCCGTAGGTATGGTATGTGCTTTGCACCTTCGAAGTGCAAAGTTCTTCTACAAGACTGGCAGGATTCTAATCCTGTACTCACTCTGGACGGTGAGCAGATAGAAGTGGTAGAGAAGTTCGTGTATCTAGGTAGCTGCATAAGTGCTGGTGGTGGCGTGAGTGATGAGATCAATGCACGTATTGTGAGAGCCAGAGCGGCTTATACCAATCTGGGCCATCTTTGGTGCCTTCGTGATGTTAGTCTGGCTGTAAAAGGTCGGATCTACAACGCGTCGGTGAGAGCAGTTTTGCTCTATGCTTGTGAAACCTGGCCTCTCCGAGTTGAGGATGTTAGACGACTCTCTGTGTTCGATCATCGCTGTCTCCGAAGGGTTGCTAACATCCAGTGGCAACACCATGTTAGTAGTGCAGAGGTTTGGCATCATGTTCGGGCATAGAGACGATAATGCAATTGGAGTCACCATCCTTAAACACCGACTTCGGTGGCTTGGACATGTTCTACGAATGTCATCCCAGAGAATTCCACGTCGTGCATTATTTGCCAACTCTGGGACAGGTTGGAAAAAGCGGAGAGGTGGTCAGCATATAACATGGTGCGGTGGTATGAAAGAAAGCTGCAAAGGGCTAGCTTCTGTTGGTCCTTCACGACTCCCTGGCTGGGGTCCTAGAGTCGGTGTAACACAGTGGCTAGAGACGTTATCAGATATGGCTCAGAATAGAAGCCAGTGGTGATCCTGCTGTAACCTTCTTTTACTTTCTTTATAAGAAGTGGTTGTATCTTCCTTAACTGAAAGATTTCTCCTGATTGTACCTTTTCGTTTCCCCCATTATTACTACTATTACACTACCATACACTAATCTGGTCGTTACTGTTTCTTTTCTTCCCTTCTCTTTAAATTCCTCTTTATTGAGGCACATATACATTTGGTGCACCTTTTACCAATATTTATGTGTTCGAATAAATAAATAAAGATTGATCAGTAAAATAACTCCTTACTATATGCAAGTGTATTTAACTGCTACTCTATGTGTAATACAATAACCCATTACTACATACACGATTATTAGTCTCCTTAAAATGCAAGCGTTTTCAGGAGAACACCCGTAAAGTGAAAAAGATGGGTTTCGCTTCGTCTATCACTTTGGATGAGTTAATTTCAAAAGGTTCCAGGAAAAAAACAAATTCAATCAGGCAGCCTGTATTCAGTATGTCCTATAACAAGATCAGACCGTTTCTTATAAAGCCCCAGTTAATGAAAATAACAGATAAACGGCTTGTTTATTCTTTTTGTGACTTGCTTTGCTGAAGATTTATATGACAAGCTGATTAAGCATAACTTAATTCTTTAGCACTAGGTCGTAAATAACTCACTCGTTCTTTAAAGTAGATTGCAACAGAGCGTGTCGTATGACACTGTCAGAAAAAAACAGACATGACATAAACTAGAAGTGTTATAATAAATACACTGATAAGCTATTAGGTATTCGTGGGGCAACATACCTGACAGTTTGAGAGAGCCATGCAAAAATCGGCCTTGGAAAATAAGTTTCAGGTGATTTGAATCTGGCCTCGTTCCCAAACCTATTGGACCATTACTAGTACTAAATGACTTACTATCAGGCCATTCATTGAACAAAGTAGAAGTAATTTGCTCAACTGTAGTATCTTGATCATATTTATGCTCAAAAAATGATCCATCAGGCATTAATAACTTCAAGTGGACCTACACAAAAACAGAAAATCTAAAAATTTAAAATTACTGCCATTGTCACTACTATTGCCACTAAACTGTTACACCAAGATTCGAAAACTGTGAAGACTACATTAAGCTTCCCCAGAGTGTAACCCAAAAACTTGGAATACCGCCATCCGTATTCTACACATTAGGATATTAAATCAACTAACCATCATAATATTAAGTGGATGTGAAAGTACTCAGTTAAGTAAAACTCACATTCTGTAGTTGGTGATACACTGCTAACCTTCATTTCTGCACACATTGTAGGATATTTCAACCCTTAAATATTTTGCTTCTATTTAAAGCTGTTGATGCCATTCAAATGGTTGTGGACGGAATTGAAGAAGCTTTCGCTTAACATGCTTCCGTGTCTAGTAGCAGGGGATCACCAATACCTCCAGGCAAAAACCATGCAACAAATCACAAGGGTAAAACTGCCTGAATATTCAATCTTTGTGAAGCTGAAATCAAGAACGCGTTGTTTCTTGGATTTTGAGTCTAAATGGTTCAAATGGTTGTGGACGGAATAGAAGAAGCTTTCGCTTAACAGGCTTCCGTGTCTAGTAGCAGGGGATCACCAATAACCACAGGCAAGAACCTAGGTATATTAACGATAAAAGAGAAAAAACAATGAATTGGTAAATCATAGTAAGATACTATCTTTAGTCCTTAAGAATAGATCAAGTCGCCTCTTAAAGGACTCCTGGGAAGTTGCTCGGACTAGCTCAGCTGGCAGCTAATTCCAGCATTTGACAACTCTTAAGGAGTAGAAGTTGTGTCTGCAGTCCGTTCTACTATGTTGTATCTCTAATTTCTGGGTGTTACCCCTTAGGTTAGTGTTGGGACTAAGCTTAAGTAGGTGTTTAAGAGGATCCCAAGGAGTGTTAAAGATACTGTAAGCCATTAGAAGGTCACCTCTAAGACGCCTATACTATAATTTGTAAAAATCGAGTGATTGGAGACGCTCATCGTAAGGTTTAAATTTGAGTCCCCGAACTGATTTCGTGGCTCGTCCTTATCCTTTTGGAGTGTAAGAGGGAATACTATGTTTCCGTACTCTAAATGGGGACGAATGAAACTATTGAAGATTATGTGGAAAGTTATCTCGTCAAACTGACCAAAAATGCGCTTCAATGTTACCAGTGCAACGTCTGCTCGAAAGGCATTTTTGTCACAGTTGGCGTAAGACTTTAAGTCGGAGGGCACCAGAACTCCTGAATATTTTTCGACTAGGGATACTACTAGAGAAGAGTTTCCTAAGTTGTAACTGTAGTCTGCGACGTGTCGCAGATGGACTACTTTACACTTTGAGGTGTTAAAGGTAAGTCCGTTATCGTCTGCCCAACTTTGAAGTCGAGTCAGATCCGCCTGAACTCATTTCAAATCTATGAGTATCAGATAGAAGTATAACAATACGTTAAAGCTTACAAAATGTATGGATCTTCATCCTAAAGTTTCTGGATCTGTGAATGATTAAGAAAAGGTCTAGTGAGTACCTGATAGTAGTATGTTACTCTTTAAAATAAGTAACTTTCTAAATGATCGACTTTTGTACTAGCTTGGGTAGCTTTGGTTTGTATTGCCAAATAATAATGACCTGTGAAGTTTCTCGGTGATATTCTTGGACTTTATATTAAAGTGCTCTCTCTCTTCAATTACGTCCATATGGACACAGACTGGAAGCGATACGTGATAATTCGGTATCATTTGTGCTAGTACACATAGACAACCATAGACATTGACTTAACCGGGAAAATGTTGAAATTATCAATCAATGGAATTCTCGAAATATAGAGGAATTCACTAAAATGTGAAATTCCGATCCATCGATAATCTAAAAGCACCTCAGTATATACCGTCTATCAACGTATCTAGAAAATGTCAATCAGTCCTACAGGTTAACCAAGAGTGGCGGTAGAACCGGAAAAAAAGCGAAAGAAAGCTGAATACCTGCTAAGATAACTAGCCAGAATGGTGCTTTTTTAATTTGTGAATCAAAATTTACTATATTCTGGATGTCAAGGATAACGGGTTTTTCGAAGTAGAGTAGAAATCTTGTTTGCATGGTGTAAAACAATCATCTAGATAGTGTTGCTAGTCTCGAATACTTGGTGACATAACCGGTCAATCTGCTACTTTATCACGACAGTAGTATAGAACCAGATTATATAAGAAAACCCTTAAAGTTCATCAAAAGATATTGTAATATTGTTGCAGAAGTCTTATCACTGACATCAACACGGTGGTACGAGAACAAGAAATCGATCTTGAAACCATGGCTAAGTTACACGTAGACGGCGCATGTTCAGAAACCTGCCTAGTCCCATGATTTTTCACATCCCGGGATCTGAGCTATGACAAAACTCATCATGAAACTTTTTGTTTGACTGAAAATTGACGCGGACGTAGAAAAAAAAGTGGACGAGCTGCACACAGTGTCAGAGCAGCAAGGTCCAACAACATACAGTCAGTGTTCTTAAAAGATTTTCAGTACTCGACAGACTTTTCGAGCTCGCGCATTTAGATTTCTTTTATCGCCACCCACTTTCAGACACTTCCATACACAGAACTCCACACAAACATTTTTAACCAAACTCGCATATCATATTTCGTAATTTGCATGAATCTATTAGCACAATATTTGTTTCCACTACACTACACATTTATCGGCGTGTTTGCCTTGTTTTTGTTTGTTTATTTAAGTGTATTCTTCTTCCCGCCAATTTCTTTAGCATACCAGTGTCACCTCTGGACACTCTGAGGGGATCTGTGTGGAAAGCTTTCATAACTACAGTCAATTGTGACTTGTCTTAGTTAGCTTTAAACTGGTTTTAAGTAAAATTTGGCCATAGGATCTTATGGAAAAGAATTAAACCATACCAGCTTCCTTTATTGATCGCCGTGCCTGTGATACCATAGTTTGCAAGTTAGTACAGAACGGTAATGAAATGCAACCTGAAGTTGTCTTTGTGCGAAGACATTCAATCAAAAATCGGGCGCGAAGTGTTAGAGCTTCTGGCTGGAAGCCTTTCAGTGTTCCGTCAGACGTCACATCCCGTCAATAATTGACAGTGGTGCTAAATTGGACGACTGACATAACGTATTGTTGTCGCTAATTTTTTTGTTCATAAACAACTCCTCAAGTGGAATTTTTGTCTGCTATTATCAGTATGCCTCACAAGAAAACCATGATGGATGTTATAAGCCTACCGGAGCCTCACCCTCCGAAGCGTTGTAGCTAATAATCGATATAGACGGCCTGCTATCAGCTTCGATTGAGCTAGTAAGTTATGAGTACTAATCAACATTACAACACAATAATACACGCGAGCATTAATCAGATGAATCATAGAATAATGGGTTGACATAAGCAAAAATCGATCGAGAAAGTTAAAGTGAAAATGATGATTATTAATAGACTGTATTTTTAGTCGGACCCACCAACACAGAATTATGCTCTAGTTTGTTATTAATACTCTTCTAATAATAGATTTAATCCTAAGATCGTAGATTAGTCATGACGTGACTGCTTAAATTACAAAGTCTTACTTGGAGGTCACAAAATTCTCTACACTGACTCGACGTATCGTAACAATTAACGATATGATAATTAATGCTTCTGTAAAACACACTCGGGCGGAAGATAGGGTAATGTATTTGATGCGAATAAATATTAGTTAAACAGAATGACCACGCCTCCAATGCTGAACCATACCAACCGAGTGACTGCATGAATATTCCCGCGTTCATTATTGTTGGCCTTCTCTCAGTATTAACACTTTATTATTTATTTACGTGGTTATCTCATGTTCAGCTTAGAGGATTTTGTGGTTAGGACCAATACCACTAAACATATACTCTATCAATTACTCTCTAGAAAGTCTATTGTAAATGTTATTCAAGACAATTGTTTCAGCATCAGCAACCAGATGTTTTAAAACGTTTTCATCTTAGAACTGTCACGCGTAAGTGAGACAATCTCGGAAAGACTGATAATTGACTGCTCCCATCCTGGATGTTTAGAATGATGTGCGGAACACTTTGAGCAGCAGTTTATCTAGCCCGAATGGAACATTGAAGTAGGTCCCCCAACTGTATTTGAAATTCGAAAAGCTGTTACGTCCAAGTTTTCACTCCTTCCCGTTATTGAAGTACGGTATGTCGATCTATTTGCAATTTACGAACCCACATTAATGGCAGATTCAAACTCGGAATCTACGAATAGTCGACTCAAATGTCGTTCTAACAACAATAATTATAACAATTACAAAACAAACCTTCAATTTTGTAGGTTCCCGTAGCAAAAACTCACAAATACCAAGCCAAATACAAAGAGAAACCAAACTGTCCGAAAAAAAAAAGATATAAACAAACAAGTTCAGACGTTAAGTAAAACAAATACATCCAAATAATACAGTGAAATTAATGATATTTGATATAAAGGTTTTAATCAGCCAAATGTCTTCAGTTCTCCCGTAACAGAGCTATAGCTAATCTGAAACGAGGAAGAGCTGCTGGTCCAGATAGACTGGCTCCAGAGACCTTTAAATATGATGTTCTAATTTAGCGATTGGGTTGATTATTATTTTAGCTAAACTCTGGGACTTCGACGTAATCCCATCTGACTGCTCGCAATCACTTATTGTCCTGATATATACGAAGGGGTCCAAACCATCCTGTGACAACCACAGAAAAATTAGTCTGACTAATATAGCATCTAAAATACTAGCCTCAATAATTATCGGACGCCTAACTAAGACTCGTGAAATGAAAACACGAGAAATTCAAGTTGGCTTCAGACCTGGTCGTGTCTGCATCAAACGCATATTCATTATTCTTTAGGTCCTAGAAAGTATGCACGCGTCCGACAATGGTGGTCTCTCTCGACTTGAAAACAGAATTTGACTCGTTAGGCCTAGAGGTTCTACGGCATCGGAAGGTATACCACAGAAGTACATTAACATTGTGAAAGCTCTTTAATTGAAATGTACCAGTTGATTCGCAACTTATGACGAACTGTCATCTGATTTGAAAACTCAGGTGGTGTCCGTCAAGGCTGTCCACTATCTCCATTTTTGTTCAGTTTCACCATAGACATACTACTGGAAATAACGTTCTCTTAGTCTGTATGTTCAATAATTGATCTCCTACTTGGAGGTCCACTTATCGACTTAGAATACGCAGATGACATAATCGTAAGTTACTAGTATTTGATCACAGGTGTCTTCAAAATATTACTCGCATCTACTGGGATCACCGAGTAAGTAATAGTGAGGGTACATGCAGGGTATTGGGAAATGGTGGCAAATCGGTTGATGAGGTTGTAAATCCTCACCGACCTAGATGGTTGACCACGTGTTACGTATGCTTAAACACCTATTACCACGACGCACAGTGCTGTCTAGATTTGGGGATGGTGGGAAGAAAGTTAGGTGCGGCCAAACCAAAACGTGGCATCAGTCCTTGAGGTCCCTAACTTTTATTCTGAGCCATGTTGGTAGATTCAGACTACTTGGTTGGGGTCCGCGCTACTATCATAACCAATGGTTGCAGACTCTGGGTGACATGGCTCAGAATCAATCACATTGGCGTAGGTGTATGCACTGTTTGTCTTCCCCTGAACTAGGATATTTAAATCACTTCATATCTTTCTTTCCACGAACTGATTCGTTCTTCCTGTATCATATCCTTATATACAATTTTGATTCTATATATTACTACTATTGAAGTAACTGTTTCTATGAATTTGGTGTTCATCTTGTTGTGCTGATGAGGCGTGGCCACTTAGACCGATGCACATATGTGCCTGGTTCTAGGTTGTGACTGGCTTACTTACTGACTTACGTAATATCCATTACGTATTCATGGATGGGATGTGCAATCAGCCAGCTCCGCACACCTAGAATCTCGCAACGGCGTCAAGCCCACCTCGGGCTCGTCTGCATTTGTTATTCCACGCGTTCTCCAGCAATACAGTAGTATTGACAACACTAGTGAACTGTCTACTAATATTATTTCCATGTACCGGAAAGATGTTATGTGACCGATAAAAGCAGAAGCGTTTCACACATTTCTCTCACAGTGAGAACATGTCAACACATATCAAACCTATATGAAAATTTCACTTTTTTCTGGTTTCACTAGGTGCTGTTATGGAAGCAATGGAAGCGGTTGAGGTGTTGCGGACAGATAATGCGAATAGTGTAATGTATAAAATGTTGTGTGGCGAAGGGATTAGAATTGGGTTCGATAATCAGGTGTGAGCTATTAACACGATGTAAGGCTCATATAGGTACGGACAATATGTCAGAGCACCTGCTGGATTTTAGAAACGACAGGTAAAAACCTCGGCAAATCCGAAGGTCAATGCAGTTGAAAAGAACCAATGCAGTCATCATTTCCAGGGGTCCCAAACGATGATCAGGCTGACGATCACAGGTTACTGAAATGTAATTCAAAAGCCATTGCATAGAAAGATGGAGAATTACGGAGTGCGGTAGTAGTAAGGTATCAAATCTATGGCAGTAGTTCCATGTCCATTAGACAACGACTTCAGAGAATTTCAATGAAAATTCAATCCAAATTGCCTGGTTTGATAAGAGTATAATTATATCATTACATCCTCAATGATCGTCCACAATAGTGCTTGCCAAAAAGAAAGCCTGAATAGTGTAATTGTGATTACGGAAGACAAAATTCGACTACGCGGAACGATCCATTTCCCGTGACAACCAATGATAAAGACGGGGCTAGTGGCGAGTATCTTATGTATATCAACCTTAAAATAAGCAATTGGCAACCAGCAAAGATGGAGTCAAGATACTAGTTGTTATTCCGACGGTGTTATCAGTCTCGAAGTATGTATGGAATGCTCAGACGACATTGTTGTTTATAGCAGTTCAGCTAGCACTACAGAGTCTTTGTGATGTTGCGTGAAGATCCACCCTAATAAACGGCACCTGTGTAAAATAAACCTGGTTCGGCCATTTGATCGTACCAGACCGTGTTCACAGAAAATCCCAAAAACGTGATTGCCCAAGAAAAATTCCTATTCCAAATTCATCAAATGAGGTATTTCATTTCCAGGAACCGGAAGGACACTGCTGACATTTGTAACGAACTATGCAACAATAGTTAGCTGCCGACCAGCATTCTCCATCCCACTCTGTCCTGGGCCTTCCTTTCTAGTTCTATTCAATTGTTGTTCACTCTTCTCATGTCTGTCTCCATTTCTCGGTGTAATGTGTTCTTTGGTCTTCCTCTCCTCCTTCGACCTTGAGGATTCCAAGTGAGGGCTTGTCTTGTGACGCAGTTCGGTGCTTTCCTCAATGTGTGTCCTATCCACTTCCAGCGCTTCTTCCTGATTTCTCCCTCCGCTTGGATCTGGTTTATTCTCTCCCACAGTAGGTTGTTGCTGATAGTGTCTGGCTAACGGATCCGAAGTATTTTGCGTAGACAGCTGTTAATAAACACTTGTATCTTCTGGATGATGACTTACGTAGTTCTCCAAGTCTCCGAACCATACAATAAAACTGTTTTGACATTTGTATTGAAAATTCTGATTTTGGTGTTAGTTGACAGTTTTTTGAGTTCCAAATGTTCTTCACTTGTAGATATGTTGCTCATGCTTTGCCGATCCGTGCCTTCACATCTGCATCAGATCCGCCGTGTTCATCAATGATGCTGCCCAAATATGTAAAGGTTTTTACATCTTCCAAAGCTTCTCCATCAACTGTGATTTGACTGGTGCATGTTGTGTTGTATCGGAAAATCTTGCTTTTCCCTTTGTGTATGTTGAGACCTACTGCTGCTGAGGCTGCTGTTACACTGGTCGTCTCCTGCATTTGTTGTTGCGTGTGCGATAGAAGAGCCAGATCAGTGAAACACATTGGACGCAGGTTGGACAACAACGACTAACTTTAAGGGGGGGGTTTCTGTTATACTCCGGCCATGAAGAAAATGCTCTTAATCAGAAAAAAACGCTAAGCATTAACAACTATCTCCATGAAATATTGATACCACATGGAGAAATGTATTTGAGTTACGCTATAACTGAATAAAATGACCTAGGAAGTTTATGAGAGTCAGTGAGATTCTTATTGATCAATGTTGTATTCCAACTTATAAGTTATTGACATATTTCGTGTTATTTTTTTCGTTTTCATACTAATTATACAATGTTTGTTCCTTTGAAATATCTTGGGATTTATTATTTTTCAGTTGATTTTACAATAGGAGCTGTCATTTTTGGAAGGATGTCGATCTATAAATTAGTTAACTGGTTTTGATAACCTATACATTAACTTTCAATCGGAATAAATAACATTTTATGGGATTGCAGTTCTGATGATTTTGTGCGTCACTTTAATTGGTCAACATAACACTGGATATATTTTATGATTTGCTAATAATAATATTTTTATAATACATACCTTTATTGGTTTATAATAATCTGGACGTCGTGTTCTACCCAGAAGTTCAGAGAATTTTTCATGTCTTTTAAGATAACCACGAGCAGCTTGCTTTAATGCAGCATTGTATATAAATTTTTTTCGTCTAACTACAGACGGTGGTGTACGTGGATTTGGTGTTGAATTGACAGAATTTTCATCATTTAAACAGTTATTTGCACGTGGTCTTAAGCATAAATTACGAGATAAACGACTGGATGACTTGTAAATTGATCCAGTGGGAGATTCCAGTGGATTACTGTTTTCATTACAACTTGTATTAATACTTTTACCACTGCTATTATTGTTTTCTTCAATAAGTAAATTGCTTGAATTTAATTCCAACAAAGGATCTTCATCTTCTCCGTCATCATCGTCACAGTCATTATGACGACGGCTACGATTGGCACGCTGTTTTGTATGGTATTTTTTATGAGTAACATCCCCTTCTCTTTCTGGTTCCGTCGAGTCATCATCATCATCATCATCGGAGCTTTAAATTGAGAATAAAAACGAGAACATTTGAAAGAATATTGAACGAACCTATCAGATTTAACGGAGAGGCTATTGGATGTTTGCACGAAATCCGTTTACATATCTGGTTAAATAGCACTTTTACATTAAAGCTGATGTAACTTCCTGGTAAAAACTCCTACTCTAATCTCATAACCCTATTTTAACCCTATTAAGCGGTTGGAGCTTTTCAGGGCCACCTAAAGGTCGTTTATAAATTATCATCTCACCATGAAGGTAGTTAGAAATTCTGAAAATTTTAAAAAAATAACTATGTATCTGATAAGATAGTAGTCACTAATAATTTACAAGATACTATTATGAATATATTAAACAGTAAATCATTAGTATGTTACCAGAATATCGAGACTAAAAAGAAACTATGAATTAGATTTTTATAATTAGATAAGAATTTCATTCCATATCATCAAAGCCCCATCATTAAAACTGTTGATCATGATGCAATTTCAACGCTTTTCCGGTATAACAGTTTCCCTTCAAGTAATTAAATTACTGGTAAGTTTACTAGCGAATAACTTCGAGTGATATTTCCCGAAGTTCCTATGAGATGTCGTAACCATTGAAATCCAACTATTTCGGGAATGAGGTAGTTATCTGCTTAGAATATAGGATGATGATAGAGCGATTTCGTAAATTGACTGAGGTAAGCAACGTACGTTACTGTACGCCACTTCAATGATACACAGGTTAACTGCTCATCGCAAAAATTCAAGGTCTTGGGTACGATCTTGTCATATTCGAACGAAAAATAAAAGAATCTTAACTTCTATGAGTTGTTTATGGACCATTATTACATATATTCTTATTCCCTTTACCATAAGCCTTCATTTGACCTATTAACTACTGTTTTACGATTTACCGTTCTTAAGTTATTCCCAATCTATTAGTTACAGTCTCTCACACAACCACTTTTAGCCTGAATCTTGCATAAATAATACTTTTCATTTCATGGTGTGATGCGGTCTAGTCTGGTTGTATATAAACCACGTATGTCTAAACTATACGATTCATACAGTGGGGGGTGGATATTGTGTTCTGGACTCAATGGGCAGGGCTAAGCGAGTTGACTTAAGGCGGCTAGTGCTGGTTGACGTGTGATTGGTTTATCATATAGAAAAGGCCATGGAGGCTGGTATTTTGAGTGGCAATTTTGTCACGTGATATTTGATGGATCATGGGACACAACAGATTCCGCGCTAGTTTGTGGATGTGCACTACTGAGGAGTTACATACTAAGACGAAACAGCTCTCTAATGCTTCATGGTATTCAATGACGGTCTAACATAGTCAGTCTGTAATATAAAACTTCAAATTCAAAAATCTCAATATTTTATAGTAGCAACTCGTAGAGCGATTGAACACAAATAGTCGATGAAAAAGGAGATGACTGAGGATCTAAATACTAGCTCATTGTATAACCACCTACTCAGTAAACCTACGTTTGTTCACCTAGGATTAAAGTTCAAGATTTTGAACTTGATTTCCGAAAGTATTGAAAATGAGGCCTTGATAAGACCCTTCTTTACTTATTACTTCTTGAATTTCAGCCATTAACTCAAACAATGATAATTTACTATTACCATTATTTGTGTATGTTGAGACCTACTGCTGCTGAGGCTGCTGTTACACTGGTTGTCTTCTCCTGCTTTTGTTGTTGCATGTGCAATAGAAGAGCCAGATCATCTGCGAAGTCTAGATCATCCAATTGCATCCTAGCTGTCCACTATATCCCGTACTTCCCCCCATATGTTGAAGTCTTCATAACCCAGCCCATCACCAGGAGAAAGAGAAAGGGTGAGAGTTAGCAACCTTGCATGATATCGGTCTTTATTTCGAACGAGTCTGTGAGCTTATTCAATCATAAGAATTCTGTATGATGTTGACTATCTTCTCAGACAAGCCGTAATGTCAGAGAAGCATCCAGAGTGTTCTGTCCACACTGGCAAATTTTTTCTCGTAGTCAATGACGTTGATGTAGAGTGATGAATTTTACTTAATTGATTGTTCCACAATTATCTGAGATGTTGATGTTCGGCCGTAACACTATTGATCCTTACGGAATTCAGCCTGTTGATCTCGTAGTCGGGCGTCTACGGAGTCTTTCATTCTATTTAACAACACCCTGTTGAAGACTTTTCTTTTCTGCACGAATATTCTGTAGAATAAATATACAGATTCAATTCATTCAGTAAACTACTTATGTAGTATATCATTCGTAAACCAATGTTGTAAATTATTCATCATAGATGAAAATTCACGTAAACCTACTATATTTAAAGTAAATTATTTGGAATAGACACCCAAACAATTATACATAAATGGACTAATTACATTCTAGTCTCTTTTTGACAACTCGTTAAAATGAAATTGAGATACGTGAAGTGCGAAAATGGAAGAGAATGTGCATTCATTTTAAAATTAAAAATTCGTGATCGGCATTCGTTATTACATGCACTCCCGGAAACATTGTTGTTTGTTCTTTCCTTTATTTATATAATAATAATATGCACTCTTTTGATCGACGCTCCAACTATTGTTCACCTTTTCGATGTACACCCGTATTTATTCTGACTCTTATAAACGTACACCTGTAGCGTGGTGTCGAGTTGAGCTGGACTATGAACACCGCTACCAGACTACTTGCCAATAGACCAATAAGATTCCGGTAGGCCAAAAATCAGAAGGCAGATGATAGTAGTAGTCGTAATATATTTGTTGGCAATCTCGTGGTATCGGAAGAATACCGAGATCGTGCCAAAGGAGTACAGATGCGATCGGCAAGAAAAGACACGTGCGTAGTCGAAAACCGCGTAGAAGCAATGGAATACAATGGAAGCCCAAAATGGCTGTTATTAGCACAGTTAAACAAACGAGCACAATAAAACAATCACTGGTACAATTGGCTAAAATAATAATTGTTTCCATCGAACCAATCGCGTTCTGTTGACAAAAGTAGGTCACTACAGAAGCCCCTCGCTAGAAAGGGTTTACACTTTCGATAGTTAGCGGTTTGATTCGTGGGACTGATCGGCAGAAGTGCGGTTGTAGGACGAAGGAAATTGGCGGAACAGAAAGTGATCGTTGATCCTCGAGTTGCCAACGAAAGTCTTTTGCGCAGAACGGTACCAGAAGTGTGCTGTATTTGTTGATCGAGTTAGCATACCACACCAGAGTGGTTTGTATCCAGGATCTGATGATTGCGTTCGTAGGGATGCGGACCAGAAAGCGCTGCAGACGTAGGACGAAACCACGTTGAGCCAAGAAACCGGACGCGACCATAACGACCAAGCGTATGCCAGGCGAATTCGAGACCAGATAATCGACTGAGTGCGTTGACTAGAGCATGGGTGGCCAAACCAGCTTTTGCCAAAGTTGACTGAAGTCGACGTTATCAAACGGGCGATGGTCGGAGGCGTGGGCTCAGGATACAAAAAAAAATCAAAAAAAGAAAAGTGTAGCATGCGTGTAGTATAGGAATAATCCTACACCGTATGTTATTGACTGTGCGTTTAGTCGCGAAAACGTACGAGTAATCGTACTCGGCGACCGGAACGTGAGACGGTGGTCTCGTTCGTGCTTCTTGAGCCTGCGATCTCATCCGAGGTCAAGGGCGGCGTGGTCTGCCGATCTGGACGTGAGACGGAAGTCTCGTCCGTAGATGGCGCAGATGACGCGTGCTGTTGACCGGAACGTGAGAACGAGGTCTCGGATGTATCTAGCGTGGGATCCGAGGTAGACGTAGAGATCCCGCTAGAAGGCTTGGTAGGTCTAGCATTGAGTCTCAAGTTATCGGGTAGGGCACTGTCATCGACGTGTGCTGGTTTGAGACGATCAATGCTGACGATCTCGACGCGGCCGTGTCGATCAACCTTGAAGGTCTTTTCGTGACGAGAGATCACGTGAAAAGGGCCTTCGTAAGGCTGTTGTAGAGGTTTGCGTACCGAATCTACTCGTATGCAAACATGTGAACAGGTAGATAACTCTCGAGGGAGAGCGACCTGTCGATGTTGTATTTGAGTTGACACCGGAGACAGCGTTCGCATAAATGCAGACAGTCGATGGACGTAGTCTGATTTACCGAAATCATTACTGCTCCGTGGTGTGAAGAATTCCCCAGGCAGACGCAATGTCGTGCCGTATACAAGTTCAGCGGCGGAACATTGAATATCTGCCTTCAAACTCGTTCTGATGCCTAAGAGAACGAGCGGTAAGGTTTCGTACCAATTGTCGTTTTCGTGTGCTCGGAGAGCACTTTTAAGTTGGCGGTGAAACCTTTCGACTAAACCATTCGATGCTGGATGGTAGGCGGTAGTGCGTATGCGTTCCGTACCAAGCAGCCGGGTCAGTGAGGAGAATAATGCGAACTGAGATTGTTGTCCTCAGTCAGTCGTGACAGTCGAGGGACAACCGTACAATGCTATCCATCGTTCTACGAAGCGGTGAGCAACTGTCTCCGCCGTGATAGACGTGATGGGAATAGCTTCGGGCCATCTTGTAAAACGTTCAATGCACGTGAGTATGTGATCATACCCATGCGATGGTGGCAATGGTCCTACAATGTCTATATGAACGTGATCAAAGCGAGCATCAGGCGTAGCGAACGTGCCAATGGGGACAGCTACGTGCCTGTGCACTTTTGATCGTTGACACTGTAAGCATTGCTTTACCCACATACGAACATCTTTATTCATGGACGGCCAGACGTATCGTGCAGCGATGAGACGTAATGTGGCTGCGATACCTGGATGAGACAATCCATGAAGGGCATCGAAGACGAGACGGCGATAGGTAGACATAACGATGGGTCGAGGAAGACCGGTAGAAATATCACATAGGATAGTACTTGAGCTAGTAGCTAGGGGTACTTCCTGACACTGAAGGGACGAAGATTGTGGTGCTTCTGTACAGACAGGATCGTTTGCTTGCGCGGTGGCCATAGCAGGAAGATCGAGCACCGGTAAGGTAACTGCATTCGTCTGGATACGTGAAAGAGCATCGGCAACATAGTTCGACTCGCCTTTAATGTGACGAAAGTCTGTCGTGAACTGTGAGATATAGTCCAAATGTCTGCACTCTCGTGGTGAGTAGCGGTCAGACTTGGTATGCAGGGCATACGTTAAGGGCTTATGGTCGGTGAATAAGATGAATTGGCGTCCTTCTATTGCGTGCCGGAAATGTTTGATGGCGCAGTAGGCTGCAAGCAGCTCGCGACCAAAAGCGCTATATCTCGTCTCCGTGGGAGTAAAGCGTCGTGAGAAAAATTCAAGGGGTTGCCAACTACCGGAGATATTCCTATAGCGAAATCTGATGCATCAACCGCTATACTAAGCGTGGCTGATGGGTCAGGATGAGCGAGAAGTGTAACTTCAGCGAGAGCCGTTTTGATCTCTAAAAATGCAGTACGTGCGGTATCGTTCAATTCTAATTTGAGTGGATTACCGCGTAGTAAATCGGTTAATGGTCGTAATCGTTCTGCCGCGTGAGGGATAAAACGTCGGTAGAAGTTAACCAAACCGAGAAAAGCCTTCAGTTCCTTGATTGAGGACGGCACGTTGTATTCCTTGATTGCTCGAATTTTGTCCTCACGTTTAGCGAAGGCTAATTTGTCCGGTGCCAGTCGGCGTGGTCTTGCCGTGACTGGTGGTCCGCGGATGACTATGTGGTGTACCACACGATTGGTCACCGATGAAATCTCCTCGAGTGGTTTAGTTATTCTGGGGAATTTCTCGAATAAAGCGTGGAATTTATCGTCACGCAAATAAAAAGTGCCGAGGATTCGGTACGCGTACATCGGAGTCTATTATATTAATACTATTCTTATCGTTATCCGTCATGTCAAATATATTATATATTAAAAATTAATATGAAAATATATGACAGACGTGGATAGATAAAACAATAGACTCACCGAATTGCCTTCTTTGAAAGATTTGACCGAGGTTGAGGCGTGTTCCATTATTTGGCTCACCAAATGTAGCGTGGTGTCGAGTTGAGCTGGACTATGAACACCGCTACCAGACTACTTGCCAATAGACCAATAAGATTCCGGTAGGCCAAAAATCAGAAGGCAGATGATAGTAGTAGTCGTAATATATTTGTTGGCAATCTCGTGGTATCGGAAGAATACCGAGATCGTGCCAAAGGAGTACAGATGCGATCGGCAAGAAAAGACACGTGCGTAGTCGAAAACCGCGTAGAAGCAATGGAATACAATGGAAGCCCAAAATGGCTGTTATTAGCACAGTTAAACAAACGAGCACAATAAAACAATCACTGGTACAATTGGCTAAAATAATAATTGTTTCCATCGAACCAATCGCGTTCTGTTGACAAAAGTAGGTCACTACACACCCATCAAAACGGATAACGATACAGGCCAACAAATATTTTGCGAACACTGGTCACGTAGGCAATACATGAAAAGTTCTTAAGAAGTTTCTCTACGGCCGAACGATCTGGTTCGAGAGGGATGTGACTTCACTACTTATGCACTGCAGTGGTATTAGCAGTCCATTATTTCAAGCCTGAACCCTGAATACAAAAGAAACATATGCAAGTTATCAGTATTTCATGATCTCAACACTTCATTTTCATGATTTGTAACTTGGTTGATAATATATCTTTTCAATGTACTTAATCCTTTTAATTTTATTTATTCCTTATCATCGTCTTCACGTCTGACGTTCATTGTTTAGCTTTAACATTCAGGTTTTAATTTATTCTTCATCTTCCTTATACTCGTTGAGTGAATAATTGTCGTTCACACAGTTGACTTTATCTGATCATCTTTCGATACATTTTTGCACGTTAGTGCTCATTCTTTGACATGTGATATTGTGTAGTCGTCCCCCAACTTTCCGAGTGACCATTCTATTTATGAATTAACCATCATTACGACTGTTTAGCTCATAAATAAACTCTTCTTCGTTGAATGGTATATAGTGTTTCTTCAATGACAACATGGGTTGTTTTAGTTATTATTTACTACTCACTTCCCCGTGATGAGACGAAAATACAAGCTCACAGTTACAACCAAAACGGAAGACTTAACATATCAGTGTTAACGTAAAATGATGGTTTTCGTTCGACTTTTCCATGCACAAACAGTGAAGACCATTTGCCAAAACATTACAATCCATTGTGTAACTCCCGAATTCTGTTCCAGATCCGAGGTGTAAAGTAAATGCAACGATGATGATCTTGGTTAATGTATCTGATAATTTTCTTGGACTTGATGTTACATATCTACACATAAATCAATGACTACCATTTTCACATAGACCATCACAGTTGGAATATCATCGCTTAAACTGTGAACGATATACAGCGTATTTAACTACTACCGACTGCCAAATCGATGTAAATAAAAGGATAATAACACAGTGTGTAGATTTGTTGGGCGATAAAAATCGAATTCCAAACACTGATTCAGTGAAGGTTGTTTGGGTACAGTGTTGATTAAGAATGTCTAAAATGTTCATAGAAAGAATGAATATTGCAGATCTTTCCATTGGTTGTTTTCACTGTTTCTGAGCTCCAATCACACATTGTAAAACGTCAAAAACGATATTATCCACAACCGGAGCCACAAATGCAATATTCTGTCTCCAAAATTAAACGTTAGTTCGACTGTACAGAACCAACGATAACCACACTTTAGATCCATTGAAATGGATTATAGTTAGTTTCCAGTTTATAATATTTGTGGATTTTCATATTTTGTGACAGATATCCTTTTCTCAGAACAGATTATTCCAAGTGCATTACCATGCATCTGTCAATGTAGAATTGTGGTTTGAAAATCGAATTTCATATTCCATTCAACTCTTCAGATCCCCTAGAGTATCCTTTAGTTTGTCGAGTGGTGTTCATAGGTTGCGTGGCTTTTCAACCAAGCAACACATGATTTACTTTTTGTGATTAAGATAAAAGTGACATATTCCCAGATAGAAAATCAAAGGAAAATTTACATCATATTTTAATTTGTTTATTGCTGTGCAGTCATAAAATGACAAAAGCTTTTTATAAATCCCAGCGCAGGAAAACATTTTCTGTTTTATAGTCACTCATTATAAATTATCAGTGGGCGTTGAAACAGTTTATGTTCGTGTGATGATTTGAAGTATTCGAATTATAGTACAGACTAGGAATCCCAGAAATAACACAATTTAACTGAGAAGACTTATATGAGGACGAACGAACGTATCGTATTTGGTCTGCTGCTTGTTTGTGTATGAAATAAATCTTTTCAATAAGCTCAGGAATTTGACTTTTTAATATTTCACTGCTAACTATTGTTGGTTCGGCAACGTACATTGCCTAAGAAGGTCTCGATAACTGTTTTGTTTATTAAAGTTTACAATCAGATTGCTTTCATTCTAGTTGTTTATATAGAAATATTGAACATACTTAATGACTATTACCTGAATATTGTAAACACAGATATTTATACATATCTGATCGCCTGAATTTCGTTGTAGTATGCACACACATTACTTTAATCGGGGCCATTTTGAATTAGTCTGTACAATGAGTATAGCCAATATTCGACTTGTAAATTATCAAAGAGTTTATTCGGTATTACGTTCTGCTTGTTAACTTCATAAATTGTTAACAATCATTTTTGTGGTGTACTAATAACTGAAGGATATTAAATTTTTATTATTATTATTGTTATTATTATTATTATTACTATTATTATGCAACTATGATTTGCAAATATAATAAAAACAAAAGGTTCAAATCCTAATGTATTTTTAAACCTTGATGATGTATTGTTTAACCAAAAGTCGAAGAAATTTTAAACTTGGTGTCCAATTGCTAAAGAGATGTTTCAATGATGGCTATTAGCCTAAATCTATTTCAATTGAATCCTACCATTAAATTACGCCTGACTGGCTTTTATGTAACATGTCTTATTATTGATTACGTCATCAATGGATAACTTGATTTAAATAACAATTTTCTTCAACGAATTTTGAACTGACTTCTGTTTTATTGATGAGTTATAGACTATGAATCACCATTGTGAAAGAATGTCAGCTATAAAGAGTGAAAGCTACGAACTACTGGATAGTTGTTTCTTAAAGTACTATATACCTGATTAATGTACACCCACAAAACAACTATCTAGAGCTTACAATTTCCCAATTATTCTCCAAATGATGAAGATCCGTCATAAAAACCAACTTCAAACAATACAACCACTAAGTGTCTAATTTAATAACAATTTTGAGATAAGATAGATAATTTTAAGTCATAGAAAGTGAAACGATTCGGAAAATTTTTGGGGCATTCATTGGCAAGGAGCACTTGCTGTCTTGTAGAAGCTGATACTTTTATGTGATTCTAACCCAGATATTGCAGCTTGATCAACAGAATTCGAATGGCATTTAAGTACTGGAGAAGCAGGATATTGATCACTACACTAAAATGACAAAATTAATGATCACTGTTTATCCTTTTTTTCTTTCCTTTGACTATTCATACGAACCAATTAATTTCTTAACTTGAATCATGTTTTCATTCCTTAATGACATGGTTATCAACTATTATTCTTCCGTTGACATCTGATCTTACTAATTGCAACTTTGATGAATCATTCTAACAGTAAATTATTGGGCTCACAATAAAATGACTTAAGTAAATACTGCTCGCATTGTATTTTCTAATTAGCCATCTAAATCGAAGTAATGGTTTAACTACAACAACTTTTCATAACTATGAATGATATTTACCGCCCAAGGATTGAATTCGATTGAAATGCGTATGTGTTTATATGATTATAAATTTAAGGTCAGCATAAAGTTCAATTGTTTATTATCTGAAATCATTTAAGTATTGATTGATATAAAACTACATGTCCTTTTATTTTTGAATAATCTATAAATTGGTTGAAATGCAGATTAGATTTAGACAATTAATAAATCAAGAATATAACATTTATTTTTCACTAGTATTATAGGTTTCTCAATTTTTTTGTAATTTTTACTTGATATGTTGTTTAATTTATCTGGTTTGTGAAGGTTTAAATTTATTGAGTAGGTAAACCACTCAAAGTACACCTTACTGACGAGAGCCGAATATCACAAAAACTATGCCCTGAGTTTTCTGTCGACTACCTCCAACCACAATCCTACAACTCGACATTATGCAAGTAATGTTGGATCACTTGGACAAGTGACTACATTGCAACTTCATTAATACAATTTGGTCAGCAATAAAAGGGAAGTGACATACATGAGATTGTTCATTCCCCTGATGAATCAATTGTAGATGTCAAAGTTATTAATAAAAGTGAGGGCGAAATACAACATTCATGCTCTCCATTAATTAACAATTTAAATGACTCAGTAACTTAATTTAATTTGTTGGTTACAACAGCTTAATTTTATTTTGTATGAATATTTGTCAATATTAGAACGAATAGTTTAACGAAAATTGGGCGCCGAGTATAGAGAAGTCATTATATGTGAAAATCATATTTGAAATAATATCGGCGATTGGAATTTAAGTAATTTCAACGTTTAGTTCAGCAAACTTGTCTGAACTTCTTTAGGGTAATAATGGAAGTCCAGACAAGTTTGCTGGACGAAACGTTGGAATTATTTAAATTTCATTCGCTGAGATTATTTCAAATATAATTTTATGATAATGTGAATTGGATTCATACAATTGATTCATTATTGCCAAATACTACTCAGTTGAAATTATTCGAATTTGACTATTGAATCATATAAATGTCAGTGTGTTCAAACTTCATTTTGGTTTATTTTTGGTGTATAATGAATCTTCACCTATCGTCTTTGACCTACTCCATGTGTCACGTGATACATGGATTCCAGCAACAAGTAACAGACTACTGTAGGTTATACTTTTCTTGTTTAAAGATCACAATGTATTTGAAGTAGTGTGAAATTATGGATTTCAGTGCAGTATTAAAAAAAATTATTTCATGTATTTTATCATATTGTAGTGAACGAAAACAGTTCCTTTGTAAAATATGAAATTTATACATTCCATACGTCATTTATAGATCTTCCTTCAGTTATCTTTACATACTTCATCATTCTTCGAATTTTGTTTTTATTCTGATTGCTCTCCGTTTTCTAGTTAGTTCTCTCCATTCCAATCTTTTATTGGTAGGTATTCAAAATTCTCCTCCTGCTACATACTACTTATATCTGTCCGCATAAGTAGCATACACCACAATACTACTTTTAATATGTAAGTACAATAGAGGAATTTATTTTCAGACTATTACTTATTAACGCCTAAGCAATAGTTTTCAAAATCATGTATTTAGAAGTGGGACTAAAGATACAGAATAAATATAACGATACTATGATTAGACGCATTAATAATAATTAATAAATTGATATGCACTATAAAATTTTACTATCCAAACAAATGTTAATTTCTCTAAATATTCGTTTTGAAACATTAAATGTTAATTTGTAAAAGTTATCTATTCTTTGAATAAACAGCTTGGGTCAAATAAGCGAAGTCACATTTCCACTTTTCAGTTGATTTTGTAATCTTTGGAATATCATTTCTCCCATGAGCAAGCCACGTAGCATTAATTGTCAAATTTCGATGAAGCTTTTTCACCTTCTTCTTCAGTGTTTGCACTCTCACCAAATTTTCAACTTACTGCAAGCCTATGATGAAAACCATTATTTTCCTTACAATATAATTTTTTTGACGTTAAATAAACATCAAGTTGTAAATGATTTTTATTCTGGAAGGAAATCAGTTAAAAAATTATTAGAAATCAAGGAACACATTTAGGCATTGAGCATTGGCAATCCTAAGAGATTCTTGAAGTTAGAGACTACAGTTCTTGTAAATACAACAATATTCTTGAATCACTGAATCAAAAATCATCTATTCACATGTAATGTTAGTCCATTTGCAATAATGGCACGTTTCTCAGCCAATGTTATTGATGAGTTATGGTCTTATTTTCGATATATTTGATTAATTTTGTATATGATAGCGTATACCCAAAACTTCTAACTAATCAGATTTGCAAAACATCTAGTCCTGGATTCGATTCTGTTTGACGATTTCTGAAAAATTCAAAATCAGTAGAAAAAAAGCTATCTAATTTCACACAATTGTCAGTAAATATTCAGTTTACTTTCAAGTTGTAAAAGGTATTAACAAAACTACCTTAGTACGTAAACTTTCAGTTAAGATAATCAGTTTCAATGCCATTATTTTCCTTGTTATGTATTATTGAATTTAAATCACATTTAGAAACGATATTTTGTAAACGAAGAAATGACTTAATTTGTCAAACAGTGTGAATACTTCTCTTTAAACGGGCTCCGTTCTCATCTTCCTTATTCTTTTGATAAAGAAAGGTCCAAACAGACTGAATTTTTAGAAGTCATTTAAACTTAAACTTAATTATTAAGTGTTAGCACTAATCAATACTTTTTAAATACTAAATGACTTGTAAGAAATACTTTTTCATTGTAGTCTTCATGTTATAATTAGTGTCTGTAGATAAACATGTTTTCCACAAGAACTACATCATGAACAAAAGTGATTTATAAACAATTACATGAATCAAGTTCAATAACCCATTCAGTTGACAGAATATATATATATATATATATATATATATATATATATATAGAGAGAGAGAGAGAGAGAGAGAGAGAGAGAAAGAAAGAACGTATAAGCTACCTTTCTACTCATTTGAATGCATCAAGAGATATTTTTTAACTATCTAAAACGCTAATACAATTAGTATCATGAAATATGACGTGCATATGACTAGTTTCGTTTATAATTATTTTTAATTTAACGT